TTCTCCTTATGCCTCAGTGGAAACAAATTGCTCTTTGCAAGAGAAATGCCCTTCAAAGTGCATTATAGCAGCAGCTTTGCTCTCTCTTGTCCAGGGACTTGATTTAAAACCAGCCTTAGCCCTTTTCTGTCTTAAGGGGTTTTGACATCAACATCAACCTGAAATAATCAGAAGCAGGTTTTCGGACAGTCATCCTGAATTGCATGACCTGCCATTCTGAAGTGCCTTTGGGAAATGGAAGAGGGGAAAGAGCAGGTGGGTCATGACAAAAATGATGAGCTCTACCTTAGGCACAGTATCGGAAGCAGCAAAAGAGGGTCCATTCATGCAGGTCGGGAATTTGCAGTGCAGCCTAGAAACCAAGCAGTTCAGTTATCATCCAAGTCATGCCATGAACAAGGAGGTCAACACTTCCTTGTTCTAGCAAGCGCTGAGTAGGTTAATTCCAGCCTCTCACTCTGGTGACAAAAGCCTGTACTGGGACCATTCATTTATAACAATTAAGGGGGGAATGGTCTGCCTCCTCACTAGTGAGTGCCGTGGCATCAAGCCTGTGAAACCCAGACACCTGAAACTTAGCGTGCATTCTAAGGTTGCTCTAGTTGTCTATGGCCTGAGTTTTTGTTTGTTTGTCAGATGCAACGAATAACTTGAATCAAGGTGTCCATCTGGTTGAAACCTGTGGTAATGATTTCAGCCATGGGCCAGACTTGTCTAATCAGCACAAAGCGTTGGTGTCCTACAGTTTAAAAGCAGGGGAGAGGCGGATGCACCTTATTTCTCCCACTCCCCCTACAGGTACAGCAGACAGGTACCATTCTTTCCTGAAAGGGCTGTGGGGTACTTCATGGCAATGGAAGTTTTTAGGGGTGCTGAAGGGAGACAGAAGAATCATGGTGTCTCCCACTGACAGCTGATAGCTGCATATGATTGTTGACCTTGGATCTTCAAGGTCTCCTCCTCCTTGTCCTTCTTTCTCCTTCTCCTTCTCCTTCTCCTTCTCCTTCTCCTTCTCCTTCTCCTTCTCCTTTCTCTGTGCAGCATTGACTTAGTGTGCATTGCATAGAATATATGCTGTGTCACATGTAAAATCTGGTATTCCTGCTGATCAAACTACTGTCATTTGGGTGCAATGCCTGGCCAGGAAGGACCAGATTAAAGTTGCAACCTGTCTGACAGGGCTACTACTGACTGCATTCTAAGATCTGAAATTCAAGAGAGACTCTTTAAGAATGTGCATGTCCGTTTTGTTTATAAGTCCAGCCCAGGGCATGTCAAGGGTCACATATCCCTCCTCCCTCATGGATAGCAACGGGAAGCTGAAGTTCCTTCAAACACACAGGCTTCCTATTCAGGCAGGAGTGATGAACGTAACACTCTGGGTGGAAAATGTGCTGTTCGATCATCTGAAAGGGTATCGCTTAATTTGCAACATTAATGCAAAGGCACTGGTAGAAAATTGACTCATTTGCAGGACGTGTTGAGCATCTCCTGGGCTTGCAGCATGAGATTATTAAGCGTGCTGAAGACACGTGGGGGCTAAATTAAGCAAGGAGGCTCCCTGGTTGTTTCTCATTAGAGGAAGACATTCACCCTCACCCACCCAAGAAAAAGAAAGAGAGATGGGATGGCAAACACAATATCTGGAAGGAGGGGGGAGAATCACTCCTGCCTAGTGATAAAGAACAGATGCACTTTCTCGTGGCCAGGGATCCAGGCTTGGCATCCATTGCTGTCTCTCCTTTGGACCGCACAATTATGTAAGCAACCCTAAACTAATCCTGTTGTGGATTTTTGTTTTTAAAAATAAATGTTGTTGTTGTGATTACTAACTAACGATGGCGCCAAAGTTCAGAATTGGGGAAGGTTTCAACAAGCACATTATGAGCTGAGGCTAACTAAGCCCTGAAGTTTGGGCTTGGCTCATAATGGGACCGACCTGGCAAAAGCTCTCCTAGGTACAGCTGGCCCTTCCTTTCCGGTCTAGACTTGCCATGGAGCTACAGCTGGGCGGGGGCTTGCTATGAGGCCTGCATTAAAACTTCAGCACCACCTCCACAATGTGCCAGGCAGACGGGTTCATGGGGGATGGTGTTCTCGTGGATACCTAGGCCCCAGCAGGGTCACTGGGATCCATGAGAAATACATTTCTGGGCTGGTGCTTTGAGTCGTGCACAGTGTCTTAGATGCTCCAGGTGACCCGACTGGATTCATGCATCAGTCATGGATTCTTGTGCTGATGGTCAAAGCTGAGGGTCTAATGGAGTCCCCATCATGTGAGTTGGCCACTAGGACTGGGCAAAGTTGTGGGGTAGGTATGAAAGTTGGGACCAGGTGTCCTCCAAGCACAGCATCATCAGGGTCATCAGGGTCTTAACTTCAAATACAGTTGAATTTTTAAAAGCTTAATTTGGGTCTGTGTGTAACTGTGCCCAAATTAACTTGTTTGAAATAGCTCCTGTCCAAAGAGACAGAAAAAAGGTCTTACAACTCCCACCATCCTTCTGGGGAACACTGGAAGAGCTCTTTCTTTCTACACATGCATAGATTGTGCCCTAAACTATTAAAGATAGTAATTAAGCTTCAGGTGCAACATTTCAACTGTTAGGATGGTAGGTAAAGCTGAGAAATGTCCAAACAATTGGAGAATGGAGATGCAGCTAGAGAAAGCAGCATCGCTCTCCGGGGAACCCCAGGAGGTCCGATTGGTGGTCCACATGAACTGGATTTGGCACATGGACTTGATGTTGGGTGCACCTGCTGTACCCAGCGCTAGGCAAGATAGACCCCTGCTCTGCATTTTCTTGGGCTCCCTTCTTAAGTCCTCTTAAAGATGAGAGGAGTCTTTGCACGGTGCTTCGTAGAGATCGGCTGACTGTGAGAGATACAAAGTGCCCATCATCCAGTTTTCCACCCCAGACAGACTCTCAAAGCCAACTATCCTGTTGGTTACAGAGTGTTCTTTCCCTCCCGGCTGGAAAGAATCCACAGTGTAAAAAAAGAACTCTATTAATGGAAAGCTGGGTCTTGGAAGGAGAGAGGTCTTCAACTCAAAATTCCCTTCTGATTTTTAATAAAAGAGGGTGGGAGGGGTAGGGGGACTTACTTAAAATTAAAAAGAACCCTCAAAGATTCTAAACTTGCTCATTCATTCCAAACTGAGAAGCTTGTGCATCCCCCAGGCATAATCTAAATTCAGAGCTCATTTCAGTAGGACCAGGAATTATGGTCCAAAATGTTGTGTTGGACATAATGAAAGAGTGCAAGAGTTTAAAGGAGGAGAAGGAAGAGGAGGAGATATTGTGACCCCTTTCTTTCATACATTCCAGTTTTAAAGTCTGCTCTATTACTCCTGTTTAGACTCCTGATTTATGAATTGCTAATATTTGGCTTTGGGAAAGCACACCTTTTCTTAGAGATGCTATTTTGGATCCATTTTGACCGGTCCTTCCCCTGACAGCGCTGAAGAAAGCTCTTTCTGCACCATCCACCACAGGGTCTGTCTAAACTTCAGTGGCTGGATCACAGGGGCTCAGCTGCAAAGGGCGGCATCCCTTGCAGCCTTCGTGCTAATTAACTCACCGTGCTAATTTTAAAAATCTGGGCCACAGAGCAAAAAGGGAGGGGGAGGAGGCCAGTGGCTTTGCCACTTGTCCAGCCATAGCTGAATGCCACCTTCTGAAAGGTGACCACAGAAAAACTGATTTATTGAAATCACTTGTGCTGGATAGGTCTGGGGCAAGTTTGCACTGGCATAAAGAAGGTATTCTGTTAACCTGTACATTGGAGGAACTTCGGTTGGTGTACACACGGGCTACACCTTGCTATTCCTTTTTATTTATTTTATTTTATTTTATTTTATTTTATTTTATTTTATTTTATTTTGGTGAGGGGATATCTCTTTTGTTCCCTTGTGAGCAGGCAATGTTCAAATAGCATAGGACTCCTTGGTCAAGAGGAACTTAAAGTGGAATTGAAAGTAATAGCACACACTGCTACAACAACAGTGCCCAGTGGGTTATTTATTCAGTTTTCAAAAGTATTTCGCCTAGTCAAGGGTGGGCGACTTTAAGGTAAGGGGTCAGGGGGTCTGTTTCAGCCCCAGGGCCCCTCCCCCACAACCCACTCCCTTGATAAGTCCTAGTTATCCAAACTTATAGCTGCCCAATCTGGTTAATCTTAGTAGCACTGGCAGATTCTGCATGTCCTTGAGAAGAAACTCTCCTTGGAACCTGAACCACAACTCCTGATGATGTTCTAAAGCTTGAAGTGATGGCAAATGAATGTGATGCAGCCTCACATGGACTGTTCCATTCTGCTCTGGAAGGCACCAACCCTTATGTTCTCCCCTGGACTTCCACGATGGTCAGAAGATCGGTTGGCATGAGGTTATGCCATCTTACAGAGATGTGTGCCCCCACAAGCAAAGAGGAGTGTTGCTAGGAATCCTTGGGGTTCCCCAGGAATCCTTGGGGTTCTCAACCCTTTTGAGACATGGGTTCAGAAAGGGCGGTCCAAATGATTCGGGGGCCGGAGAGACTCCACTGCGAGGAAAGGCTACGACGTGAGGGATTGCTCGGCTTCAGAAATGGGTGGATGAAGGGAGATGTGTACAAAATGGAGCACATGGTGGAGAAAATGGAGAGGGAGAGATTTTTCTCGCTTTATCATCATACTCATCCATTGAGTGGGTTGGTAGGAAATTCAGAACGGGGAAAAGAAAGGCTTGCTTCACACTGTGCCTAGTCAAACTATGGAATTTGCTACCACAAGATGGAGTCCTGGACTACAGAGAGCTACTCCAGATGAATACAGGCTCTCAGGTGTCAGCGGCAATGTGCCTAGGCACACCAGCTGCAGGCGGACATGGGTCGGAGGGTACTGTCACCCTTTACCCCATTTGTGGGTTTCCCATGTGACCCGGCTGGATGCTTCTTACATTTGTATGCCTACATCAGAGAAGAAACAACAAGCAAACAAATCACATGCAGAATGCCTGATTGAATTCGCAACGATTTTATTTTCACAAATGTCATAAACCAAAATAGCAAGGAATTGGGCTATTTTGCGGAGCAGATTCTTTTGCTGAGGGAAAGCCAGAAACCCAAAGAGGTCCAAAAATCGGAAAGCGAGCCCTTTTAAAAGATTGTACAAAGCCCAAACAAAGCCATTTACAGTCACTTTTTTTACAGAGGAAATAGTAAAAAATACATCTTTTTTCATAGAAAAAAAGCAATGTACAAAAAACCGCAGGCTGTTGCTGCCTACAGATGAGATCTATGCAGACATGTATGCATCAAAAACAGATAGCATGGGACCCATCCTTGGTTCTCTATTTATTGATGTTTGATTGTACACACCAGCGCTATTTTAATAAAAATGGCCATGCCTATATATACTATTCCCTGCTTTTCTTCCTTTCCCACCATCACGGAAGAAACTAAGCAATGGGATCTCACAGCAATGAACTAGTTCCATCCCAGATGTCCAGGGCTCATGAACTCTGCCCAAGCCACAGGCACCAGTGCTTGGAGGAGTCCACCCCACTGCACGGATCCGTCCTTCCAGACGACCCGCGTTCCAGTCCGAACATTGAGCCCTGAGTGAGCCTGAAAGCTCAGCTCAGTCGGGGTGTGTTGTGAACGTAGTGGCTTGTGCCCCACTGCACAGCTGCTGAAAGCACTTTGGTGGCCAACACACACACGCCTTGATTTATTGCCGTTTCAGCAAGTTTAGTGGTGTCTGGGGAAGAGTGGCGCAGGGAGGGAGAGGACCCTGGCCAAGGGTTTGGTTGACCACTGGTGTATGGTGAAGGCATCGGCACCACGAACCAAAGCAAGAGATGTGGCCCCTTGCTGAAGGCTTCACTCTCTCCTCCCTATGCCACTACCGAAATGAAATGGGAACAAAATCCATACATGATCGGGATTGCATGCGTGCCCTGGTTTGAAAGCCTCCATGGGACCGAGCCTTCCCAGCTGAGGCCTGTGGTGATGGCATCATAGCCTCCCAGCAGGACTTAGCGCTCCGAAGACACGGAGCAGATCGATCCGTTTGGAAGGGGCCTGCCCATCCCTGAGTAGCACCAATTTAGCACCATGGCTCCCAAGCCGTCTCTGAAGTCCAGAATTCCACATGTGGGCAACAGTTCTCCGAGGAGCACTTTATCTGCCTGCTTTAGAGGACCAGGAGAGGACATTCTGGAGAGCTTTCATGGATAGGGCCAGCAAGCTGGAGACGATGTGATGGCACCGAACAGCAACAGTAGAAGACCAAGGAGGATGAACGTGAAGTTGCTGTCCACTGCAAAAGACTACTTGCAATAAATAGAACCTTCATAATAGTTCTCTGCTCATGAGACGGGTGAGATTGTGAGTCTCGTTGTCCAATCGAAGTACATCCAAAAAGCCACCAGGGACAAGCAAGCAAAACAGGGGGATCTTGGCTATGGAGAGATGCAAAGGTTGATCAATTCAACCTTAATTAATTGATGATGAATTCGTAACCTCTAACCCATGGAATACCTGGTTGAAATTTGAACACTATGCTCTATAGACACAGTTAAGATCAGCATGTGATATATATATAAATATAAATATATATATATATATATGAAAAAGACCTGCTCTAATAGTATTGCATAATGTATGTGTTGTGGATAACTCCCAACATCCCTTTGTTTCACATATAGTATGAAACAAAGCTCTGAATCTGTACAAACAAAATGAAAAGCAAACACTGCTTACGCTTCTAACAAAATAACAACCAACTCTTAGAGATCACTACTTAATGAGGATATAACCAGCTCTGCTGAATAAAATAAATTGCATTTAATTACATAAAATAACGCGGCTTAACATACTGTTGATCAGCATGTGCCTGGACAGGAGTCCTAATTCCGTGACTTCTTGCTAACGACCACCTGCTCAAGGTCCTACAATTGTTTGGCCAGCAAACCCAGCTATCTTACCTTGATCTTTGGGCTGGGGAGGAAACTCTGGTTTCCAGAGCCAGTATTCTTTGCACAAGGTGGCTTGCTTTTGGACAGCTTCATCAGCCTTTCCAATATCCACAGAAATGCCTGACCGCATTGCTTCAACACTGCACCTAACAGACCAAACTCATCCCTTGACCCAAATCGAGTGTTTCCAGAGCGACTTGGATGCATGATCCCAAGAAGCACATTGAGGTGGTTTGCCCAGGTCTAAAGAGTGACTTTGAAGAGGGCAACCATTTTAGTTTCGGGGAAGGATCGGGAAGGCTGGGAAAAGGGGCACGGCCAACTAAGGAATGCTGATGGACTGGATTTGGCCTGCTGGCTTGAGGTTCAACACCACAGGTGTGTATTTTAAAAAAACAAACATTCACCTCCATAAAATACCACCCATTTGTTGAAAATATGCTCTTTCCCACTTTGAGAGCAGTGGGTTCTACCAAGTCTGAACTCTTTGGATCTTGAGTAATCAAAGCTGTGCATGGGAACAGAGAGGGCAAGGTGGGGCATCCAACACCCTTCTCTCAAAATCAGAACCCGCAATGCTTGCTGAATGACCAAAACTTCTGCAAGTAAAAATAGTAACACAACACTGATCCAATGCTGATGAGCCGCAGATAGTTAAGTCAGAATGCAATTGTCATGGCCGTCCATTCCTTCTGTGAAAGAGTTTTGACTAAGAGGACTTCGTCATGCTGCATGCCGGGACGAAACCCCTCATGTATGAGCTTCCCGTCGCTTAGGTACAGTGCCGTCCCCACTTCCCAGTGGAAGAGCTCTGCTTTCTTGAATGTTTATTGCTTCACCGCAAAGATGCGGAAGGCTTTCCCTTCTCTTGGAGTCTTTAAGCTGGAAAGGAAGAATGGAAAATAAAGGGAAGGACTTAAAGGGTGACTTAAACCGGGAGACATTCTCACATTAAAGAACAAGACAGCTCTTGGTTTGGTTTGGTTTGGTTTGGTTTGGTTTGGTTTGGGTTGGGTTGGGTTGGGTTGGGTTGGGTTGGGTTGGGTTGGGTTGTGTTGGCCATGTGATGCTGGACATCGGTTGCCTGCACTTATAGACACTAGAATTCAACAAAACAAATCATTCCTGTTAAACCCCAGACTCTCTTTCTCCATGACACTCATAAAGGCACAAGGCATGCAAGTAATAATTACTTATTCCCACTATTGTCCCCTATTTCATATTTACTGATTGAGATTTACATTTATAAATTAAAACCAAATTTTACCATCCTGTATCCCCACACTGAGATCTGTGCTAGCAAGCCTCAGATTTTGAATTTTTGAGTATTGTTGGACTCTTTAGAGGGAATTTTAATTTTAGGGCTTTTTTGTGTGCTTGGTCAATAATATGAGCATGTGTGGTTGGTTTTTTTGCTCTGTAAAACTGCATGTGTGTTTCATTCAGCTTTTGTCGGCATTTTCTTAACGTTCTTGTCGATTCCTGGGCTTTTCTGATTTTTTCCCCCCTTTCTTCATCGTGAATAAGCACATGCTTTGTTAAGCAGCACCTTTTTCAAAAGTTTGTACATTTACTCGACATACTTAATGTTTGTTTATGGCTAACATGAAGAATAAGACTACGTAATTCTTTTATCTATCCATTCATTTATTTAAAGCTTTTCTGTCCCTTCCTATTACAAAAAGTCTCAGAACGGCCGTACCATGAAAAATATTAATAAATAAATAAGCACGACGGCACGTCCTCTATAAAACCCCAATTAAAATAGCAATTAAACCTTAAAATAATTTATGGTTTAATTTATGTTTGGTGATATTTGTGTTTTATCTTTGTAAGCTGTCCTGAGGCTTTTGCAAAGGACGGCATATAAATATCCTAAATAAATAAATAAATAAAATATTGGGAAAAGAAAAAGAAAAGAGAAAGAGCACACACACACATAATAAGCAGCTGAACAAAATTACCCTCCTGAGCAAGGCAAAAATCCTCCTGTTCTTCATGCACCAAACTAACCTCTGGCAAGCACAGGGTGCACTTATCAAATTTCTGCTCCAGGGAAGCATTTGTGGTTCCTCCTGCCAGCATTTGCTTGCTGGCAATCAAAGCTGATGCCGTTAGCCATGAAAGGCACCGAGGAGAGGCGGGTGGCAATTCTGCTGGTTTGCTTATCTGTGGGAATTTTATTCAGGATGTGGAGAGGGGAGAAAAATTCAGAGCAGGAGCATAAACCTCCCTCTTTCTTCCGTGACATGAACACCCGGATCTCCTCTTTAGGGTGACTACAGCATTTTTTTTTCTGAAGGCATCCGGCATCCTTCCAAGCCAGATAATAAACAGGCTCAGTGGTATGGAGTGAATCTTGTATCGTATTCTAAGCTCTGCCATTTTGCTAAGAGTGGTTGGCAGATTTTTAAAATCTGTAGTGGAATCGATCCACTGAGGCAGTCCCTTTGATCTTTATTTGCTCAACAATGTAATCTGAAATACCAGCAGTGTACAGCCGGGCCTGAGAGCTCATTTGGCACAGGAAACAAAACCCCTCCTCTGTGAGATGGATCCCAGCTTTCCCTCACTTAAAAGCAAATTGCAGAAGCCGTGCTCTAATGACTGCAAAGATAAGCCAATTCAATGCCCGGTAAAAATTCCGAAACCCAGAGGAAGGCCGAGAAAAGCTTCCAGCTGGGTATGAATGAGGCGCCAAGTGGAAATTGCCTTTTTAATTCTCTGCCTCCAGCATCTGGTAATCCGAAATCTACTGTGTCTAATGGTGGATGTTCCAATCTTATTTATTAGGACCAATACATGATCGCTAGACTTGTCCATGAATTTGTCTAATTCTCTGCAAAGACAACTGGAATCCTGTATTCATCTCTGCCCTCCAAAAAGAAAAGATAAGTTGGCATTGTCCTATGATGACTGTGAGGCAGCAGATAAGGTTTATTTGTTTATTTCGTTTTTATACTCTTTGGGTAGTTAACAATTAAAAAAGCCATACGCACACATGCATTGAAGATAAGATTAAATTAAAACAATAACAATACAATAGCGATCGTAATTGAATCAGCATGGAAGCATGACACGGGTACAAAGAAAAATCGAGTTAAAAGTGAAACAGTTAAAAAGCTGGGAGATTAAAAAGTCCTTTACTGGCACTGAAAAGAATACAAAGAAGATGCTAGGTACACCTCTGGGTGCCACAACCAAAGAGGCCTGATCCTGGTAGCCGCCTGCCTCACTTCCTTTGGAAGGGGCTCCTGGAGAAGACCTCAAGGTCCAGGCGGGACTAGGACGAGCTGAGCAAGAGACTGCAAGCGAGGGCATGCCTTCTTACCTTTCAGATCTGATCCCATTCCTCAACGTTCCAGTGTAGTATTTCTTCTTGTCCACCGGCATCACGTCCACGTAACCGCCAGAACTGTCCCCGATGACCCCTGCATGTACGGCCGTTTTGCAGATACTGGAACTCTGCAAGATTGGAGGGAAAGCTCCGTTAGAAAGAGACCCAGGGCTCAGCAGCATCACATGGACCGACAGAGCCACCCCTTTGGCTCCGGGAGCCGTATCTGGCCCTCCGTGGCGGCCTTCCCACGGGGCCAGGGAGTTGGCTGCAGATTCCCAGCACGTGTGCTCCATTCACACCAGAATGCACTCCTCAGAGCTTCTCCAAAATACAATCCAGTCCCTGCGCTGTCACAATTGAAACAGACCCCTTTTCTCGCTTGCTGGGGATCCAGGGAAGTGAATGCAAAGGCACTCTTCACCTGCCCATAGAGGCAAGTCATAGCACTTGCTCTTGGTGGCCGTGTGCCAGGGTTAAGGCCTGGCGGTCCAAGCCAGTGCCATGGTCGCTCAGCCCTGGTGCAAAAGAAACGTCTCTGTCAGTTTGCATCAGCAATTACCCAACTTTTTGTAATGCCGGCAACACCCTGTGTCCGAGCATATTTCTAAAAGATACGCGGATGACAAGAGCAATAAAGAGGAGGCCCGCAGGTGCTGGAAGCCCAGTTCATGCTAGACTGGCTGGAACGTCACATCTGACTTTAAAAGAACGGATGGATGACTGCATCTCCGAACTATTCAGGAAATACCATCATGGCAGGGTTCGCCAGGGCTGCGGAGAGACACCGTCTGGGAACTCTGGGTGATCGGGAGTGCAGACAAACAGACAGAAGTTACGCATTCACTCCTCTGCAGTGCCTGCAAGCCATCAAGAGGAGAGCTCTGTTTGCCCTCCTCAGCCATTAGAGCTGCCGCGGGAACGCAGGTACCCGGGAGTCACACACTGCTAGCGGGCAACCTGTGTGGATCTCACACTACGCATCACGTCTTCCTCCCTCTCCTGCCGAAGCCATAAAAGGCTCTGGCCCTCTTTGGCCCTTTTTACATCCATCACTGTCTCCGGGTTGGCAGCTTTCGCCTTTCCAGTTGCCAGATTGATTTGGAGCAGTCTATATATGGTCAAGGAGAACGACGGAATGCGGCGGAAGCAGCTTTCCTCGGAATTGACCTGAGTGTGTGATTGCAAAGCAGCTAGTGCTGGCTCGCAAAAGTCGCCCTGCCCTCCAGGATAGCAGGAGGACGGTTCCATAGCTCTCCGTCTTTCCTGCCCATTCCAGTGTTCTTTCTGGAACATGCGTTCCCAGGATGCGCTGCCTGCTGAAATCCCTTACTGGTGCGACCAACGTGTCCTGCCTCTTGGCTTGCTGCCATCTGTCAGAAGTCCCCCATCCTCCTTAGCAATTTTCAAGGCTGTTTGAAGATGATAATCCCAGGAAAAGAGTAGGGTGGAATTTCCTCTCTCCATTAAACAAAGCAACACTTCCAAGGAACCTACAGAAGGACCGCCAAGCTGCCCACCTTGTTTGTCACAACCAGGACCACCACACCGTGCCTCTCTTAATGCCGGGGATGATGGCCTTCTGGTCTCTGGGCCTTCCCTCTCCCCAGTCCCACCGCTTCTCCCCACCAGCTTTCCTTTACTGATTTCCCAGGATACAGTCTCTTCTCCATCCTAAGCCAGAAAAATGGTTCCCGGCTGGAAGAACTCTAAGCTAAAGTGGGCTGATCGTTTCGGAGTTTAGCCATGACCCTTCTGCCCTTCCTGGCACTGGAATGCAGCCTCCAAGAACTTCTCCAAAGGTGTTCTCCTTGGGCGGAAGAGTGCCTGAAATTCTTTGACTCGGGACAACCTATTGACAGTGTTGGGAAGGAGTTGCTGTGGTTTTGTGGTGAACCCATTCCAGCCCTGGCTTGGCCACAGATTGACAGTCTGTCTGTACTGAGGCCTGCGGCTTCTCTGGGCTCCGTGCTTCAGTGCAGTCCCGGAGCCACTTTTGCTTCTCCCATCGCCCCAGGACTGAGGACGACCCACTGGGCTGGTTTCTGTCACTCGTCTTTCGCTTTCCCAGCAATAGTGAGAGGAGTGACCTCCCTTGAAGTGGCACTGGAAGGAAGACAAGCCGAGAGAAGCAGGGACTCCAGCTACACCATTTCCCAGAGAGACGGCAGGAGAGAACAAATGAGATTGAGAGCCAGGGAGCGTGTAGAAACTGGAAAGGGATGCAACAGATGCTAGAAAGTAGCCCAGATCGAGAGTGGGACCGCTACTGGGTTGTGAGCCATAGCCAATGCCCAAAGATGCCAACTCTTGGCACCAGCCCTGGGGTGCCCAGTTGCGCCCTGCTTTGGAGTCCACCTTTGAAGGTCTCCGTTCGAAGGAGTGTCAGTTTGAAGAGATCAGGGTCTAACAAGAGAGAGTCAAAGATGCCTCAGCGGCAGGCGACGTTCCCTGCAGGGCTGTAAGTTGACATTTCTACTCCGGAAATCAGTTTTATGCTGTCCATCTGGCTCTGATGATAAGCTTCTGATGCTTTCAACTGTTTGCTCCCTCATTTTGCCTGGCACTTTGCAAACGCCTGAAGCGCAGCTCTGGCGTGTTTTCAGTCTCATTATTTTGCCATTGATTACAAGCACCTTGGCACTTCGGGCTCCTCAGAGTGCTTCCAAAACTAATGTGATCTCCTTCTTGCAAACATACCTTTCCCAAGGCCTCAGTTGGAGCAAGCTAAAATAGCAGTCTGATTGCTATGGGAAAAAAGCAAGCTATTTTTCATAGCAGAATTAATAGTTCTCAGTCCCTATGGACAAAAGCGCACAGATCCAGGCTGAGGGGGAAATATCTCTACTGTTTATATCTCCCCCAGGCTGAGGGGGAAATATCTCTACTGGTGGAGAGATGTCAGACGCAACAGGACCAAAGTCCTCTACAAAGACTGGCTTCTAATTCTAATTCTAATTCTAATTCAAATTCCTCTAGAGCTCCGCTTTACGCACAGTATGCCAATACGCTGTAGCCATGACGTATTCAAGAAAAGATGCCACTATGTGCAAAGACCAACAGGCTGACAATCAAACTGACCAGCTGAGCAGGAGAAAATTCACCCAAGGCCTTTGCGAGAGCAACTAAGACTTAATCCTGAACGTAGGAGCTTAGGAATCATTGTACTGGACGCAGGTCCATCTAGGCCAGCATTCCGTTCATGCGGAAGAGCAGAAATATCTCCATCAAAGGAGACATAAGCTCCTCTATGTGTGAAGCCCAGATGGGGAAAGTCAACCAGTAACTCTGCAGTCCCTTCCAGCTTCCCCTGTCTGATTTCAGAGGTTCATTGAATTAGTTTCTTCAGTTGAATAAACACTTTAATTTTTTATATATTGGAATTTAGGCTGTTTTTTGTTATTTGCATTTTAATTGTCATCGATTTGCATTCTTGTACCTGTGTTTATGAATTGTTGAGAACTGCCCAGCAAGCTTTGGCTATTGGGCAGTATAGACATAAAATTAATTATACTATAATGATAATGACCTAGCCCAGTTCTCAGGCACAGTCTGCAGAAGATGCATCCTCCCGCCATTCACAAAACTCTTAGGAAAAGCACACAGCACCTCCAATATTTGCACGGGGCCCACTTTGCCAGAAAGGAAGGGAAAGGGGGATTACTCACATCTGCGTAAACATTGGTGCCATACACCGGTGCCCAGTAGGATGGCTCATCTTTGCAGTAAGCTGGACAGTATGACCTAAAACACAACACATTGAGCAGAGATCTTATACCAGGGAGCATGTTCAAGGTTCTGTCCCCACCCTGGTCCAAAAATAGCAGAATGACCTGGCTGGATAAAACAGGACCTGGAGTCAGCCAGTGATGGGAATCGGGAGACTGTAGCTCCCGGGGCTCTGTGCAAGAACCGTGTTTGCCGACTGGCTGTCCGCCCCGCTGGCATTAACACCTCGGGAGCTGCTAGCTTACCAGCAATCCTGCATCTGCATGGTGTTGACTGACCTACTCCCTGGCTCTGTATTTGCCTCCCAGTGGAGCCAGAAAGGGCCAGTGTGCACCTCTCCAATTGGTATCCCTCCACAGGTTGCTCCCACCAGAGAATCATAGAATGGAAGGGGCCAGAGGGCCATCGGATCGGCGCAGGACTCCAAGTGAGACTGTCCTTCTCAGATGGCTCTCCAGTTGCCTCTTGAATGTCTCCTGTGTGGGAAAGCCCACCACCTCCCAGGGTCATGAATTCCACTGATCCATCAGTCCCAGGTGCTGCAACAGCCTGATCCTGCTGCTTGCCAGGCAGTCCCGTTTTCATGCACGCTTTCATCGGGGCTCCTGAAGGAGCAACTGGTTCCCACCCAGGATACGCAGTGGTGTAGTGGAACTGGGGCTCACAGGGATGAAACACCAGGATGTTCTAAAGATGTCTTCCACCACACCCACTCCAGCTTCCTCGTTCAGTTTGAGCTCAGCACCAGTGGCTGGGTGCACTTTCCCAGCAAGAATACACAGCAATGCGCTGTCCCTCTTGTAACACAAAGGAGCTGGGGCTACCTGGTCTTGTGAAGACACTTAAGGCCCGTTTGCTTAGCAACAGACCTGCTCCTGCTAGAGCGGAAAACTACTTGGACTGGGTAATTCATAGGGTTCAGCATAGGTGCCTGCAAGTTGGGACTCCTGAGGACATGGCTTTGGGGGCTCCCACAAACCGCAAGCGCACTTCAGAATTTCCCGCTGCATCATTGCATGTATGTTTGCAGGACTCCTCAGTTTACCTTGGGCAGTGAGTGGCCGGCTTCTTGAACGGACAGAGCTCTGCCACCGTGGTGTAACAATCCAGGGTCTGCACTGTAGAAATGAATGCAGGGATGAATGGTGAGTCCACAATTTGGAACAGGAGAGAGGGTACAATTCCCCTCTTCACACAACCATTGCATGCAGCAGAGTGCCGAGTTCAAGGTTGGGGAAGTTTCCTAGCAAAGCCAGGGTCCCTGGTTACACAGACAGTGCTCAGAATAACACCTGGGAGTTAGATCTTGAGACCTTTTAGACTCCCCACAGTGCTGCAAATTAAGGATAGCTTGGCCTTGCCGTGTGCATTTATCAATCTCTCATTTTTCCAGGCTTAACTCTGGCTCATTTCAAACTCGGAGGAGCATTTCTATGCTCATTTTCTCCTACCAGACACATTTTCATATAGGTCTTCTTAACTAATATCCAATTTTGCTGCAGACTGAAATTCGGTTGGGATCACAGGGGAGTTAAACCAGTGACGTGCTCTAACTCGGCCACTCACACATCATGGAAGGCCAAAGAGGCTCTCAGAGAAGACATAATCCTTGCGAGGCTGCTGGGGCCTTAACATCCGCCCAGGGTTCGGGGTGACAGCCTGCTAGCCCTACGTATTCCAAATAGCAGCAACCCCTTCTCCTCAAGCAATGTTGCCCAACAGTGATCCTTCAGATATCCTTTCAAATGTCACCTTCTTTTTTAAATCCTAGAGATTTGCCAACTGCAAAAAATTTTTTTAAAAAATCCCTTCATCTAAATGGGAGGGGAAAATTCTCCTTCCAAAAGGAGAAGTTTGCTCTTTTGCAATGTGCCTTCCTTCAGGTGTCTAGGGTTTTCTGGCAGGTTTTAAATCAAATCCTAACTTGAGAAGGCTCCTGATGGCATCACTTCTGACATGCTTTGCTTTTACTTTCTAATGTCTTTGTACAGGCAAACAGAGGTCTGGCAAAAAGCTCTGTTTTGCCTGGATCGTGACTGAAACGGAATGGAAAATGGGCCCACTCGGGTATACTGTCAGTCTTGTTTGATTTGAAGAGTTTTCTTGCTTTGCTCTTGTTGCAATTATAAAGATTGTCTCTTTCATAGGCTTATGAAAACAAACATCTTCATGGATGAAGGACAGGGGAAAACCAACAGGAAGAGATCGTTTCAGTTCAAAGGAAAATGTGGGACACATTTTGGACCAGTTTAACGAAGGGTTGTGTTTTAGGAAAGTAAATCTCTTTGGGTTTGGGTTTTGTTTTGTTTTTTGTGAGGCAATCGCCATCTGACTGGGCAACTGGAAATATTATTCATGTTATTGCTATTGTTAGTGTTACTGCTATTACCCTAGAAGGCAATTGAAAAAAACCCTTTTTTATTTTTAAACAGATTAAAGAATAATAGTTCAGATGCAGGCCAGTTCTGTTACAACATAAGGCTGCAAGTGATACCAATTTAAACCACTCAGGGAAACCTTCTTTTTCTTCAAATACTACAGGTTCTACTAACTTACCAGCAACTTTTGAAACAAGGAAGGAATTAGAAGGCCTGGATTTACTGTGAAATTAGAAAAGGGAAAAATCAATGTATAAAATGAACAGATAGACATTCACACATCAAGCTTCAAACTAGGATCATGAAGGCTTCAGTGGACAATCCTATGCAGGTTTAGAAAGACAGAAGTCCTACAATTCAGAGCATTTTGCAAATTTTCTCTTATGTAAACCTGCACAAAACTGCCCCTCAGACATGCTACTAAAGCCCAAGAACCAAATCGTTTGATCCAAAGGAAATAGCAAATACTTTTTTTAAAGTCTTGCCATGGAAAGTTTCACCAACTTATTTTGGCAAATGAAGCTGCTGTTCAAGGCAGAAGAGCAGAATGAGTTGATTCTTTTCCTGGTCAGTTGGCAATTGAGTAAAAGTTTGTTGGCATGAGTCCAAAAGTTGAACCTCCAAGTTGTTCAAATCAAGAGCCTTGATTAATTTTTCCAGAGGCAAATTACCTTAAGGACGCAACGCCGTTTCTTGTAGATTTCATGAAGAGGTCTGTTCTGCCCTTCCTGGTGATATCTACCAGACCTCCTCGGTTGTCCAACACTCCAGAATGAATGGCAGCCCGGCATATGCTGGACGACTACAAGGAACAAGTGTTTGAAAAGAACATTTACTAGGGCTATTTATAACACCATTCCCAGCTTGTGAGTAACTTGCACTTTTCTTTCCAGCGGCTTAGCTTAGCTGGAGCGTCAAGGCTGAGGAGCTTCTCGAAAATCTTGTTCTGCCTTGGCCAGAAAGATGTTCAGCAACCCCAGTTTAGAGGTATTCTGGACTACCAATCCAAAGGCAAATGATCCAGAGGCCAGCACTGATTTGCGAAATACCTAGCAAGGAGTCTAGCAAGAGCAGAACTTTGTGAAATAAATGAACGCTGCTCATTTCCGTGAGTGTTTCATGGTTCGGCCTGATTTATCCACTTTTAATCGCATGTTGATGCTTGAATGGAAGGATAAGGGATTCTTTATCCTTGCTGTGGATCAAACACTCTGTAGCCCAATGTGCTCTGCACAGGATGTAAAGAAGGAAAAAGAATAGCACGTTGCCCTGAAAGTTTATGCCGAAGGGCAGGGCATACGTTTCCTAAAGCTTGATGTTCAAAGGCAGAGCTGAGAGCTAATGAGGGGTGGAGTTAATATGGGTTGGGACTGATTCTAGCCGTCTGGAGTGTCTTCATTTCTCAAGGATCCTGGAACCAATGGCCAGAAATAGTTTAATTTTACCAGTGACTGAGATCATATTTTTGTACTTACGCTCTCATAGTTGAAGGTTCCAAACACTTTTGCTTTACTGTTCAAGCAGCCAGCGGGACACAAGTATCTAAGCAAGGAAATGGGACAGTCAAGCTCATTAAGGTCTGCGTGGGTGAGCTGCAAGCAAGGCGTTCTAAGTGTTGTTTGGAAGTGATGGATGAAATCAGAACGTAAATTTTCAAAACTGGAGCCATACACATTGGTGCAGCTGCGGGTCAGCTTCTCTCTCTCTCTCTCTCTCTTTGGCTTTTACAACCATTTTCAGAAATCCCTTTAGTTGGTGGTGCCACTAGAGAAGACTTCTGATTTCTCTGTCTCATTCACAGAATGTGGCCCATTCTGTGTTTTCTTACTATTTTGTTTGTCTTTATTCCTAGCTAGAAAAAGATGCTGTTAAGGATGAAAGATGGAACAGGTGGATAATGGCTTTTGATCGATAATGTTAGGGGTGCTCCTGGAGGCTGGAGTGGCACCTGGGCCTTAGGTTCTTTGATCCCAGTCTAGCCCAAAGAAGGCAGCATGTATGGTCTCCCACCCTAGTGGCAAACATGGTCAACACCAGTTTAGCTTCAGTGGTTGGGTTTGGACAGCACAGTAACCCACACTCAAGGGTTGAGTAGGAGTTGTCATTGACTCACGGACTGTAGTTGAAAAGTGGGTTATTAGAACCCATACTAACGAGTCATGACTTATTAAGCATGAATGACCCATGCAGAGAACCCATATTTTGCTTCTGGATTATGATCTGAGGCTGTTCACCGTGGTTTGTTACCTCAGCTGGGGTCAGACAACACAAGAACTCATTGCAAGAACAGCCCACAGTCCAGCTTCAACCCACCCTCAACCTACGTTCAATGTGGGTTATATTGATGTGGGCTATATTGTCTGAACCCAGCCATTGGCATGAGGAACACCCAAGAGAAGGGTCATGTATGCCATCTTTTTAATGGGATTTCTTCTCGCATGTCTGTTTTCTCCAGGGCATAGATTTAAGATCAAAGATATAGCAACCTTACTAAAGCAAGGCTGGTGGAAATGACAGTCCAAGAGGTCTGGACTGTGTAGTCCAGGAGGTCTGGAAAGGTCTAGGTTGGGGACAGTTGTTCTTGATAGTATACAGAAGGATTCTCAGCCAACTGGCTGATGTGGGAAATGTTCTGTGAAGGTAGAAAAAGGCTGGAGAACCATGACATTAGATTGCAAAAAAAGGAAGAAAAACAGGTGTGGGGAGGACTTGCTAACCACAGTTTGAAAGAGGGCAGGAAGCGACACAGTGATGCAAATTGAAGAAAATAAAAACACTGCCTCATCTTCACGTTTTAAAACAGCCCTCTCTTTAAGATCCTGGCCAGTATTTGCTTTGGGTTTGGCTTGTTTCTCTTTCTCCCCCAGTCCCACAGAGTGATAAACTGCACTGTGCTTCAGTGAAAAGCATCACACACGGGCTGGGTGGAGGCCACGGATGGTCCAGCTGAGACAAGTCAACAGTGCCGGGGCAGGATGCTGAGAGGGCAGTGCCAACCCTGAGCCAAGTGCCGCTGGGCCCCTGGAAAACCCTGGGTTATCACGGGCTCTCATCCGTTCCAGCACAGAGCAAATGAGCTCTTCCTTCCCGGACTGCAGAGAAACTTGGCTGCATCGTTTGCACAAAGGGGCCTGAAAGACATGCTTGGATTTGTGTCGTTCAGCCCATTTTGCCTTTGAAAATGTCTTTAAAGATGGCTGAAGTTGAGGCCTCTGTTTTGGCAGCAAGAGGTTGAAGCACTGGAGGGAGGAAAGGATGCAGGGAGGAGGAAAAATCGCTACCTGTTACATGTCGATCCTTTGCATTTGTCCCTCATTTTGGTGTCACACCTGATTGTTTGCGCTAGAAGAATGAGAAAATGAAAGGAGGAAAAGTCACTGCTTTGTAGCATATTCACAAGATCACCCAGAAGCATCAGGTCAAGCAACTTTGAAGGACTGTTCTTCCCCCTCCACATTCAAAGCTGAGATAGCCCACATTCGTGTCAGGTCCGAAATTCATGCAGTGCGCCTTCTCCGTGACTTTGACTACAAGTCCTGTTGGCCCCAGCTTGGTCTTGAATGGGCTGAGTCTAAGCCTAGAGGACTGGGGCCAAACACACCAGATTATTTTAGTTCAAAACTCAGTCCTGAAGGAAGGATTTTGACCATTTTAATAGAAGAGGGGGAAGTGCAAAGGCCAAGAAGCCAGTGAATGATTTGGGGACCTCTGCAGGGCTTGTTTGGGATCCCAGGAAGACCCGGATGATGTTTTCCACGCCTGAGCTGGGTGGGCTAACAGGGTTCTTCAGTTCCCTATGTAGGTGAAGGACCTTCTCTGCATGACCTGCTAGCAGAACTTTTCACCCAGCAAGACACCTCCTTCCAGCTCGGTCCCTGGCACTGTGCTGCAGTCATACTCCAACCCACCCATTTCTGCCCCCTCCCTGTCTAACCACCGGCAAATATTTGAGTGGAGCTTGTACCCCTGCTGCAATTAGGAGTCTAACTGCTTCTTAGAAGAGCGATCCCTCGAAACAGCCTGGATTCTTCAGTTGGGATAGTCAGGGCCTTGATGGGTCCCTTCTGCCTATCGACAATTTCGGGGCAAAGGTTACCAGCCACCTGATTTATTTATTTTTATTTATTTATTTAGAAAATTTCTATGCCGCCCCATTCGCCGAAGCCTCGGGGCGGCTCACAACATAAAGAACTTCAATTAAAATAATATAAATTAACAGTATAACATAGGTCGCCCTGGCCAAAGAATAAAATAAATAAATACTATTAACAGTTAAAATGACGTTTGAATAAAAACGTTGATTACAACTGGCCCTATCGCCTCGGTACCACCAATAACACAAGCCATCAGCTCCCGGTGTTAAAGATTCCCCGTGCACATCCAAAAGCAAAAGAAAGCCTTCTTACTCATGTAAGCGACCATGGGTGGCTTTTTCTCCTTCACGCGCTTGGTGGGCTGAGGCTGGACCTTCTCCTGCACCCACACCTGCTGGTCCTCAATCACTTGAGGAATCTCCACCTCGTTCATCTCTGGTGTCTCGGGCTTTTGCGTGTAATGGTCATCTTTTAAAAAAGAAGAATCCAAAGGTTACCAAAAAGCGCCGCCGCGTTCATATTTCAGGTCAGTGGTCCAAGGGGCAAGCGGGGGCAGGTTGATTTGTTTAAGGAGATTTGCTCACAGCACAAAAGTTCACTTCTACTCGAAAGCTGAAGATGCAAAGTAAATAGGGCGCCAAGTGGGCACTCCTCAGCTTGGGTTCTCGGAGGCAAACATGCAAAAATATAAGCAGGAGCGTGCTGAATCAGGCTGAGGTCTACCCAGTGGAGCATCTGATTTCTGACAGCTGCCAGCGAGATGCCCCTAGAAGCTGCGAAGAGGACTCTGGGCAATGCCTCCTTTGTTCTTTGCACCAGACATCCTCTGCTCGGGAATACCTGGCCGGTGAACACGGAGGTTTAATTTAGCAAGCAAGGCCAGTAGCTATAAATTGCATATGATTCAATGCTGCAGAAATGCACCCCCTACACACACACACACACACACACACACACACACACACACACACACACTGCTGTCTGCACTTTTGCCCCACTGCTCTTGAGCTACCTTGGACATCATCTCCTATCAGCCTCTGCCAGCATGGCTGAGGAGTGCTGGGAGCTGTGATCTGCAGGGCCCTGGCCTGGGGAAGGAAGCCTGACCTCCTCCCAGAGGGCAAAGTACGGAAGTGTCTTTCCTTGGTGCAGTGGGGGAACATGGCCACAGTCCCAACTGCTGTTGTGCATGCATGCAAGTGAGAGGCAGTGTGGTGTAGTGGTTAAAAGCATGGGACTGGGACTCAGGCGATCCGGGTTCTGGTCCCCGCTCAGCCATGGAGCCACCTGGGTGACTTTGGGCCAGTCACAGCCTCTCAGCCCAGCCTACCTCACAGGGTTGTTGTTGTGGGGATAAGATGGAGGGGGAGAATGATGTAAGCTGCCTTGAGCCCTTTGTAGGGAAAAGGCAGGATATAAATCGCAATATAAATAAATAAAAATCAATAAATACAGCCCCGACTTCCAAACCAGGATCCTTTGTGGCCGTTGGGTCCCATACTCCACCCCTGCTGCAATTAGGGGTCTAACAGCTTCTTGGAAGGGCGATCCCTCGAAACAGCCTGGATTCTTCCGTTGGGATAGTCGGGGGCTTTACGGGTCCCTTCTGCTCATCAACAAGGACTGGGCCAATGTTCTCAACCACCTGATTGCCTACCTTTATAACAGAGGTTATTCTGGCATCCCCCTCCGTAGCTGGGTGCGCATTCCGAGCAAGGTCTGCCATTTTTATACGGGGCTTCTCCAATCCAGTTGCCTCTGGGAAAGTGCAAAAATACTGTCCTTATTTTCTCGCTCTCAGACATTGTCCTGACACATAACACACAGACGGCTGTTTCCCTGGACTGCCCCAAGCCCTGTGACCCTTCCCAGGCCTCTGCACACTGCAGAGTGCTGAGAAACTGGACTTTCCTCTCCCGGTTCCACTTCGATGGATGACACTAAATACAGGAAGAGATCCCTGTGCCACAGACAGGTAGTTCCACAGCACTCCAGCAATCACTTGGCACAGAGAAAGAAATGAAGCCAAGGACATTCATTTCCTTTTCATATCCCTCATGTCCTGACTGATTTTTGCCTTGCCGCCTTCAAAACAAATCTGCAAAACCATTACTCAAGAACGCCCTCATTTCTGTCTGCAGAAGCCAGTCAGGTGGCCCCAGTTGCAATAGCAAGATCTTTCCCTCTCAGCAACATGTTCCATTTCCCATCCTGGAGAGTTTCCAGAGAAATTTCCAGGAGAGCAAAAATTACTAGCTGTGAAGGATAGCATCCAGAGGATTTGGGGATTTCTACATGATCAGCACTCATCCTTAATGGGCAAACCTCACTCGGCACCCACTTCATCTCCAGGACAGAGAAGAAGCCTGTGTTTGCCTTGAACCAATCAAAATCTGGCCAAAACATTCCCATGTAGGAGAAGCTGCCATTTTGAGCCAAACAGAGTTACAGTTAGAGAATTTTCGACTCTGGATTTCAGCGTCTTGAAGGCATTTTTTTTCAGAGAACCATGCAAATTTTTCAACTGGGAAGGCTACAATTAACTTCCTCTTTTCCATCCACCCTCCATCCCATAATTTGTCACAGCTTTGGAATTCCTAATCCGTTAGAGCAAGGACAGAAGTTGTAGCACCCCAAGCAACTTTCTTGGCACTTCCAAAAAGTTGCCTTCCTCCTCCAACTTTTTTTGCACGATCCCTTTTCTTAGCACCAGCTCGGTTTGCTATGAAGTAGGCAAAGCAAAAACTGTGGGTTCAAAGGAATCATTCCACTGGTTGGGGCTCAGACCCCACCTCTGCTTTGCACTCACTTGTCCTCTGCCATATCTCAGATGGCAGACATTTTGTGGCAGTGCCCGAGACAATTTCTGAAATTGCTAGATAAGCCCATGGCCCACCTCTGACCTGGAGTAAAAAGGAAAACCGCCCAAGACAAAATGATTTCCCAGCCCCGATGAAAGAAAATGGATGCTCTGACTATGTGCAGTGCTGATCCTTACTTGGGAGAATAGTTGCAGACCAAGTAGACGGCATTCTCCCAGACCTCACCCCACACGTCCATCCGTGGACACGTGTGCACAGCACAGCCAACTTTGTTCGTTGTGGCCCAGACAATCTGGAAAGGGCACAAAGGTTCATAAGTTAATGGTGACCACCCTTGCCTGTGCGCCATCTTCTCACAGCTGCCCCCATCAGACACGCCGGTTGGGAGTCTGCTCCAAGACCCACCCCAAAACTCTAGTGTGCCTTTCCCTTACCTGGGTGTAATGGGTGCACATCGGTCCTGAGCATCTGTCCGGACACCAGGGGTTGCACTCATGGGCATATGGATAGGTATAATCTTTCACTTCATCGTACCAAGACTGGACGTGGAAAGCCGGAGAACGATACCTGGTGGAAACAGAGGCATGCTCAACAGTGCGCCAGCAGCATGATGGAATCGGGACTCACGGGGTCAAGGCCCCAGGGCCTCCTGATTGGGGGGGCCATGGCATGACCCACCACTGCCCCCAGTTTCCCTGCTCCCTTTGATTCTCTATGAGCCATCCTTGTTGTTATGAGGAGTATTTTGGGATAGCTTCATCTTGTCTGGGCAAGGAAGACCTTTCCAAAAGACCTACAGAAGACATATAGATGGGAAGAAAAAGATGGCTCAATGTAGATATCTCTGTTGTGGGAAGCTCCCTGGGGGCGCTGGCTTTGGGAAGGTCATGAGGGGTCTACACCACAACAGAAGATATCAACTCTGGAACAGGTCCCAGTGAGAAGAAGGCTTCTTGGAGTGTTTGTAAAGCCAACCAAACACAACAGAAGAACAGAGGATCAGACCAAAGGTCCATATAATGTAGCTGTCTGTTCCCAGAAGAGGAACCAGAAGCCTCTGAGAAGCCTCCAAGCAGAACATGGGGGACATTGTCCTCTTCTGCCATTGTTTCCCCGCAGCTTAGCAGTCATGTGTCCCCAAAGGTGGGACACAGCTCTCATAACCAGGAACCCCTTGGGATCTGTGAGAAACAACTCCGAGTTAAAGAACGCAACATTCAGACTGGTTTGGGCCCCAGCTTTTTCTCATCAGAAGCAATGAGGAGAAGCTTTGTCAAACAGTGGTCAGACTGAACAAGGGTCCTAATCTGCAGAGGTGGGATGGCAGAGATGCATAGCACTCCGCCACTCTTGCTACAATGACCTGAACTGGAGGAACTGAGCTGAATCAACAACAAGAAATGCAAGAAGAGGACAGTCATTCAAATGCACAGAACTGGTGCAGGGCACCGAATCTGGAGAATCCAAGCGCCAAATTCCTGTATTGTCTCCTGTACAGGAGACCCAAAAGGTTAGCCTTATGTGCATGGAAAATCCAAGTTACCTTTTTATTGTTGTGAATTCACTCCAAGATTTGGGATTCCAGGTTTGGCAGAGGATGAAGCCTCAAGGGGGACCTTTCCCCAAAAGTTCTTTCTTCTCACTTTGGACTCTCACCTCACCCCTAATTACAAGTGTTTTGGAATCCCTGTACTTATTTATCCATACTTGGGACAGTGAGCTCTCTGCACAAACTCAGGGGCCCTCTTTTTTCCAGCCAGCCTACAGGTGTTGTGATGTGGGAGATATAAACCCTGGATCGAAAATGTGTACTGGAGCGGAGCCCAGATTTCGTTTAAGGAGCGACAGTAGCCAGTTCTTTCTGCAAGAAGCTGGCAAAAACACCCAGCTGGATAAACAAGTGCCATTTCTTCCCCAGCCCACAATGTTAGGATGAGGCAAAGTGCTCTCCTCCTTAATCCACATATGCACTCATCACAGGGGTCAGACATAAAGCACCTCACTTTGTGTGGTGTGTGGTAGGGAGTGGGGGAGAGCACAGAAGGAGCAGGAAATATATGGAGAGGATTAGAGAGCGCTCAAGTCTGAACATAGTGTTCAGGAGCCAAATATGAACTTCTGCAGCTTCCAGAAGAGCGTGCCCCTAGCGCCTGCCTCGCTCCGCAGAGGCGGGTGTGCCTGCAAATGTTTGCATCATCTCCTGGTAGTTGCCGCAGCGACTGCTAACCTGTGGATCTTCGGGTTTCCTTGCACAGGAAATCCAAGCAGCGGGAAGAAGCAATCTTCTTTTCATTCTAAACAGATGGGGTGGTGGGGGGGAGGCATGCCCGTGATAGCCCCTTCCAGGGCCCTGCAGTGTGGACTGGGAATTCTCCGGGCCTTTTGACCAGAACACAAGTCCATGGTGTTTAAATGCTATTCTTTGTTAGGCTGATCTGCCACAAGTTATCTGGAAGAATCTGCAAATCCTTTTCCTAGGCCATCATCGCTAGCTGGGATGCTACCAGTGTGTGTGTGTGTGAATATAGATATAGATAAAAAACAGGGATTTTTAGCCTGACATGCACTGTTGTTTTCAATGAACCCCATTTGCCAATATCCAGTCCCCCAGCTTGGAGAGACACTTTTGATGTACTTTCTTATCTTCTCAAGAGATTTGCAATGCTTTGCTTCAGAGTGAGATCTTCCCTCAACATTGGCTCTTCCAGAAAATGTACCCCGTCCCCGCAAGCGCAGCTCAGGCCATGTAGCTGCCCCACGCCTTACCTTCCCCAGTGGACCCCCAGGTTCTGTCCAATAGACATGAGAAGGGTGGCTGGTCCATGATCCCAGATGCACTGATGGGCCCAAGACTCTGCAGTTCTCTCCAACTCATCATCCCACCTCTACATGGAAAAAGAGGAGAAGGCAATAAATCAGTAAGTCTGTAATAGCAGCAGTATTGCCATAAGGAAGCTCCATCCCCAACTCAATATCAGAGCAAATCCCAGCTGTGGTCTAGAAAGAATTCTTATATGGCATCCTTGCATTCCAGTCCGAATGATGTGTTCATAATGCACTTTCCCCATTGGGCATCCTTTGACATTGGTGGGGAGAGGTTATTTCCACAAGCGATGAATCCCAGGTCCTGAGCTAAAGAAAAATTCAGGCTCTGTGAAGCAGATGCTTGCAAGGGCTGGCTTTGGAGTGCTCTGGTGCCTTTTGGCTCACAATGTGATCCCTGATTGGCTGGGATCATGTAGTGAGGATACAAAGGAGTGCTTTGTGAAAAACGAGAGGGAGAGAACGAAATACCCTCTGGAAAGACATGCACGTCCAACCTTTTATCAGTGCCTATTTGCAAACAGTCTTTTGAAAAAGAAAAGATGCCTGGGTGTTTCATCCAAGGGGCAGTTCACTCTGAGATGTGAATACATCTGAGATGTATTATAGCTAAAAATATTGGCATAGGAGCCCTCTCATCTTGTCTGATCCTGCAACAGTAAGATTGCTTTCAGTTAAGATCTCCCATCTTCTCTTGCTGGTGATGATCAAACAATCCAGACTTCTATGTTGCGAGTTGCTGAGTACAACTTTTCCTCCTGCGTTCCTAAGCAACACGGAACGTGCTTCGGTTTTGTGGCATTCCCTTGTATTGACTACTGTTGTATAATGAAAACATAGACCAGAAGTTCATGTCCCTGGGTTGCAAAGTGGTCTGGGGCTATTTTATTTTCTAGCTGGGAATATCACAAATAATGAACACCATTCACATCTGGCCTACTAAAACCCCGGCTGTGGAGTACATTGCCCATTAATCCTGGACACAGCTGTAAGCCTCCAACTCTCCATGATCCGAACCCAGGACACAGCCTAGCACTTCCTGCAGGAGTAAGTCCCCCAGAAAGGAAAGGACTGTGAGATGCACCTCAGAGGTCCACTGCCAAGTTCTGTGGGAAGCTGTTCTGTGTGGCCACCATTTTAATCCACCCACTTGGCTCACCTGGGAGTCCCATCAATTCATGGCATCAGTGAACCTCCACAGCCAAAGACAGATGTGGAGATAAACAGCATCTGGAGCAGACATGTGCCCGCAGTGGGCAAAGGTTCTCCCAGCTGGTGTCCAAATGGCACAGTTGCTGCCAGCCAAGGCACATGGGCCAGTGGGGCTCAGCGGCAACAGCCCCCATTGGGAATGGGGGAGACGGTTGCTCTTGGTGCACTTCCCAAGGGCAAGATGGCATCAGCTCATCAGGTGAGGAAAACTTGCTTTTCTCGGGGACCCTCAGGGCCTGGCAAACTAAACTCTCTGCTAGGAAATCCCAGGACCAGGGCACCACCAGGAGGTGACATGGCGTTTGCTTTAACTGTCACTCTAATGCAACAGGGGTGTTTAATCTGTGCAGAAATATGGCAATGGAGCTAGCCAGGCAGCATGTATGCCTGAGACTTTTACTTTAAGCCGGGCCTTTGCCAGAGCAAGCTAGCTGCTGGGCGTCTGGCAACCTTCCACAGAGTTCAGGTCATTTCAGTACATCCACACTCAGGCATGGTGACTTTCCATATCCAAGGCATGCCTGGAGCAAAGGGAAGTAGGGGGAGAAATGTCCCACAAAGACATGTTCTCACAACCGACTTCCTTTAGCACCAGCTTGAGTTGGACCCATTTGCAAAGGGGCATGCAGAAAATAATCTTTTTCAAAATCTTGCGAAGGTTCTGTTGCAACGGTTTAAAGAGACACCAAAGTTCCACAGAGGGGGGCATGCACCACACGTTGAAAAACAAAAGGACTTCCAAAGAGACATCTGTATACCAGAAGCCTGTGTTATGATTTCCAGGCCCTATTAGGTAAATATGACGCGATGAAAGGCAGATTATAAGTTGGTCCCAGGAGACCAGCCCTTTCCCGTTGGCGTTTTCTGCTTGCTCTGTGAGGCTCTTTTTTGTGCCCCACAGCTCTGAGAAAAAGAAGAGGGGGAAAGCACATGCATGTGCATGAGACATGAACATCGACAGAGCCAGTGGGGAAGAAGTCACCTTGCTAGACAAGTAAATAGGCATGGACTTGCAGAGTTTGATGCTGCATGGCTGAGCTGCAGCCCCCGAAGGCCAAGGAAAATACGTTTGGCTTCCTTGCTCAGGGTTCTGTTTACTTTCCAAGAAACACCACGGCCGTTCCTGCCTCGCATCTGGAAAAGCAGCTTTGTTTGCCCGATCTCCACCGAAGCTGTGATACAAAATGGATTTGCAAAGGGGGCCATGCAGACAAGACAGCTCTGTCCATTTCGGTATCTCGTTTATCCCATCTTAAAGGTGGTCCCACCTGAACATTGAACTTTTCCCTATCCGAATGCTGGGTGTGCACATGTCAGCACTGGATTTTGGAGGACTTGTGAGCAGGGGAACCACAGAGGGGCTCTCCCTGAACAGATCTACCTTCTCGCCACTGTTGCCACACTCTCCTTTTTGGCCTTCTGTGGAAACAACGTTAATTCATTATTTACTGGCCTGTGGAAAACTCTCCCTAAATCAGGCATATGTTCCACTAAAAGCCATGGGATTTCCACATAAATTTAGATCTTAAAATAAAAGGCTTATAAGTTCTTTCTCAGAAAAGGCTTGTACGTTCTTTCATGGATGTCACCAGGATGACAAATAGTGAAAGACAGGAAAGCTGCAGATTATTTATATAGATAGGCAGAGAGAGAATTTTCCTCCTCATTGCCTAATTTTTAAGGGTGTGTGTAAGTAACAATTCTGCTCTCCACTTTTCTTGGAATGGGGAAACTGCTCATAGCTCAGTCATTTTTCCTACCTGCAATTCAAGGGCAGGAGGGAAACACAAGACTCAGCCAAAAATATTTAGCTCAGGGGTGCAGAACTGCAGGCACAGAGGCCAAAATAGTTCCGCCTGAGACCCTCAACCAACCCTCCATGTTTCCCTGGGTTGCCACACCCTGCTTCCAGCCCGCCACCTTTATAGCAGTGACCCATTGTGAGGCGGCTTCCCAGATCTTGGATCCTGTTCTGTCATTCTAAAAAGCCGACATGCCTCCACCAGGCTTGGGGCAGGATCCTATGGGAAAGCCCAGAAGCTTCCCAACTTGGAGGCTTCTAGTCTTGCAATGCAGGGCAGGAAAAGTGATGGCGGTGATGTTCACCACTCCATCCTTGTACCCTGCATTTTCTGTAGGCTGGCTTTTTAGATGTCATTCCTCTCTGGAGTAGATGTTACAGCTGCTGGAGTAGCTGCAGAACAGCCCACATCCTGGCTACTCCAGGCTCCCGCTCTTCCCACCAAATACCCCCTTTTCCCCCTCCCCAGTGTTGCTTTCTGAACTTCAGAGAATTCCACACAAGTTGTCCAGGAGTGACTGGAGAGCAGAATTTTGCTTCCAGGTCCAAATGCCATCTCAACCTCAGACTGAGGAGTCCAGTTTATTGGATAGCCGCTCAGACACTGTCTAAAGGCCTGCAGACTCTCCCTGTTCAATACTGACACTAAATGCTGTAAGTTATAATCTGCTGCTATTTGGGCATCTTCTCTTGTACAGGATGGTATATTTAGACTGAAGCGGGTCCTGCTCTGTCCAAAGAGGATTATTCCAAGGGAACTGTGTACACAGAATTGCAGTTGTCTGGATTCTGCCCAGGACTGCAATGGGGGCAAAGGTTACAGTTCCAGGCCTGGCCCTACCACAAGGCAGAGTGAGACACTCGCTTCGGGCGGCAGATGGCAGGAGGCAGCAGCAAAGAGTTGGAGGGTCATGTGGTCTGCCTTTTGCTCCTGGAGCTGCCTTCAGGTGTGTTTGGAAGAGCTGCCCATGTTAAAATAAAATCTAGCTGCTTGTGCATGAGGCTGGGAGGGACAGCCTCACCTCCTTCATCTTGGACCAGCTCTGCCCAGTTCAGCCCTTCATCTGCTCAGCTGTAAATCTGATTTGCAGGCATTTTTATTGTTTTAAGTGATGCTCATCAACAACTGTGAGGATACAGAAAGGTGGTATATAAAGCATGCACAGGCATCGTTTCTCCTAATAGCCAACTTGGGTGGACAGTGCCAGCATATCCGTAGCCAAAATATTTAGCTAGGGCCACTTTCTATCTTGAGACAGAAGTAGACACAGACAGACACATGAAGCCCATAAAAGAGCCCATTAAGACTCAGATCTAGTAGCCAGGGCATGTTGGCGGCCAGTTGGGGAAAAAACTGGAAAACCAGGGTGAGGGTGTTTGTGTGTAAGACTTGCTGCAGGAAGGCATGACTGGCTGAAGCTCTGAGCAGAAGTGTTCCTGTGAGGAAATGAGAGTACTTGGCAGCATTTGGTTGCAGGATCCCACCCACCACCTCTGCAAAATCCACAAAAAGTCCTCAGTTTGCACAACCCATTTCAAGTGACCACTGAGGGATGGGTCTTAATCACCTAGTGGCAAATCCCCTGGAGAAACCAGGGTGGGGTGAAGAATCCAGTCCACACAGAGCTTTGCTACTAACATTCAAGAAAACTCTTCCCATGGCCAAGTTCCAGGCTGTATCCCTTAGGCTATGCTGGCTAAACTTACATCAGCATGTGAGTCTGTTAACTGCTTCCCAGAATTTACTGATGTGGTTTCTCTATTCCATTTCACAATGTTGGAAAAACCTTAAATTTCCCACAAGGAAAATTTAATCTCACTGTTTGGAAAGTTTTAATATTCAAACGAGGTAATGGAAGAGGCAGCAAGCAGTCAGTGAGACAATTGTCTTCCTTGGAGACAACCACAATTTGGAAGAGCTGGACTTCAAGGGAGCATGGAAATCCTCACCAGAATGAACAGGTACGTATGCAAGTTGGTTGTGACTTTTTTTTTTTTAAATACTGTTAATGCTATGGGAGTTTTTAACATACTTATACCCCTGCCTCATTCATGGAATTTTATGCAAATTCCAGCATATTCCACTCTTCCACATTATTTCTTTCCATGGGAAATCCATGAAGGAAAACAGAATTACTACATGAGACCTTCTGCTTGTTACACTTGCACCCTCTATCAGGAAGTGTGGCATATTTAAAATAGTGTTGACAATATTTCCTTACTCTTCCTGAAAGGAACACAGGACAACCAACACAGCTGTCGTCCTGAACTCTCATCTTATTCACACAACAATCCCTTGAAGATGGTTGGACTGAGAAATAAAGACAGGTCCAAGTTCATCTAGTGAACTTCATGGCACAGCAAGGTTTCAGCCAGGGACTCTCCATCTGAGACACTCCAGCATTGTGTGGGTTAATGTATTTTCCTGCTCAGGGACTGAATTCCAATTTGGGAAAAGTCTCAGGGACAAAGCAAAGTGGGCAGGAACAAAGGATGGCAGTACCATCTCGGATGTTCCTCCACCAACAAGGACAAGTCACAGTTCCTTTCTTTGCATGCTTAATCATGAGTAAGTCCCTCTGCAACATTGCTCTTGGTTGTAAAGCACAGCTTGGTTTAATGGAGAGGAAGACACTCGTGGTCCAGAAAAAACAATAGGTCAAGTTTCTGGGCCAGATGTGGAACCCTCAGGGGCAGCATCTGGTCCACCATCTGGAATCAGAGATGTTGGAGAAATCTGCAATGCATGCAGATTGGGTTCAGGCAGCTTCTGCTGCTGGCCAGCTTTTTCTGAGTCATGTGGATTTTGCAGACTTGTGCATCTTTCTTTTAAAAACCCCCAAACAAACAAATTTAGGGGGATTACTACAAGTGTTGCTCAGGTGTGCATTAGCACTAATGTGCCCTTCTACAGGTAGAACAAAACCCTTCTACATTGCTAAAGAAAATAATCTGATTCTATCAATGAGTAGATGATGAAACAAAAGTCACTTGACAATCCGCAAAACAGAAATGGAACAGATTTAAAAGATCTCCACAGCCAAAGGATGCCGATTGCAGCCACCACACTGCAGAGGGTCTTCAGACCACATAGCTTTCCTCCTTCCCACCTCGAAGAGAGTGAGAGGAATTCAGAAGCAAGATAGAGGCCCACTCCTGCCCTCTGCAGAGCCCTACCCTGGCTTCCACGCCTTGGCCACACGAGCCTGCGCTAGAACCCTGGGAATCGTTTTTTTCTGACAAGAGCTCTTTGGTGAATAATTCATCTCTGCAAGTAGGTAGCCCTGAGTTGACCTGACCTAGTAAGAACTCCTTCCCAGCTGACATGACTCAAGGAACTGCAATCCAAGCTGAATTTCTTCAGGAAACCACTTGACAGAACAACTCCTTGTGCTGGAATGTGTTTCAGGCAGCTGGCCTGAAAAGGAGGTCAGTCTCAGGGCCGTGTCTAAGGACCAAGCTGGACATCCCGATTGCCACTTGGACACCACCCAAAACTGCAGCCCCGTGCCGTCCCTCAAAAGGGAAATCAGGGCATTGGCTTCATCTACACCTTTCCTGTGAAATGGCACTTTTTGTTCCCTCACATATTTAGGGGGTCTGTACAACATCATTGGCAAATGGTTGAATTCCAGTGTTTTCTCTAGCCCGACAAAGGAGTTTAGATTGTCCGACAACTAGAAGACATGAGCAAAGATCCAGAGCCTTTGCATACTAGATCCTGCTTTAGCTTAGGGTCTTCTTCCATTTGTTTGCATAATTTCTTCAGACCCCACCATGCAGTTTGCTACAAGGGCTCAGCATCCTCTCATGAACGGGCAAGGTGTAATTGAGGGTTTCAATCAGCAACTATTTCTTGAACTACTTATGGCAGGGCTTTTTCAGTGTTGGCACCGCATCTCTGGAATACCTTGCTCAGAGATGGTCATCTGTCGTGGTCTTTCCTTAGCTCAACTAGGTGACAAACTTTTTATTTGCCCAGGCCTTTTTGTGGCTGCCACTGTGTTTGCTTGCTTTCAATTAGCTCTAATTTTAATATTTCTCTCTCTCTCCCCCTTGTTAATGTTCCACTTCACTACTGAAGCTTAGCTGTGGGCAATATTTAATTGTTCTCCACCCTGGAAACTTTTCAACTTACAAATAAATCTGTACAATTAAATTAAAAGCTTCCAGCTGGCAAGATCCACCCATTTTACTACTTCTTGCTGAATGTGGCTGAAAGATCACTGATTAACTGGCCCTGCATTAGTGAGTTTCCTTTCCCTGCCCATTTAAATTACTGATTTAAATGATAAATTATTGGTGGAGCATTCATTCCCCTACTTCTCCATTCTCATTTTGTTATAACAGAATAAAAGAATACCCCAACTGTTTTGGAATGAATTCCCCAAACACACTCAGAAGGAAAGAATTAATCAGGCTGACCCTTCAAACAGGAATTGTTAACCATTGGAAATGGAAAACACCATTGTTGAGTAGAATTTACTTTCCTGTAAACTGCCAGCACTTGAAAGATTCAACCCTCAGGGTCCTAGGACATAAATCTGCATAAACTTAATATGTTAATGTATATCCATATCCATATACGGAAACTTAGAAACTCAAGTCTCACAGAAAGCCATACAGCCAATTATTTCCCCATCATAATCACACCAAATATCCAGTTTGGTCCACGTGTTTCCAATCTCAGAACATCCCATCTTCTTCTTCCATTTTACAATTAGTTTGCAATGGTGTAAGACACAAAAACAAACCAACCCATCCCCTGGTGTGTGTTGTGATGCCTCCCCACAGTCTTGAATCACACACACAAACTCCCACACACCTGAGGATGACAACTTGCCCCACCAAACTAGAGCTTTAAGGAGCTCCAATCAAACAGCTCTGCTCTGCATTCTGGACTCACCATGTACTCCATGTTGGATGCTGAAGGGTAGACCTGGCTTCTCAGCTTATTGTGTAGCATCAGGATCTCTTCTTTGTCAGAATGGGAAATGGCTCTTCTTGACCTTGAGTGTGGTTGCTCGTCGTGATATTTGCTGAGGATGTTTTCCCATTGGGTTGCATTGGGCAAGAGAAAGCAATGGACTCCATGGACTAGGAACAGCAGTCCCAGTGGTACAAAGGCTTGCCGTAAAGGAAGACTCCTTGCCATTTGCTGCTCTGGGGAAAAGTCACTTTTTCGAAAGAGCCTCTTGGGGTCTTTTCTGCAGATCTGGAATACAGGAGAAAGAATTGGGGAAATTTAGTTTTCCTAACGCCTAGTTTGAGCACGCCCTTTGGTGCCTAAAATGGGATCCATTATTCTCTGCTAAATGAAATAGGAAACTCAGGATGACACTGCATTTTGGAAGGTTCTATTGGCAAAAATAATTGGAGAAGAATCCTATGGGCAAGGAACCAACCATATGGCACCCTCTGACATCAGAGAGGGTCTGACCCTCCTGTGTTCAGGGTGTGATTGACAGCTGAGGAGGCTGTAGAGTCTTTGAACCCATAGCTGCTCAAAGGTCCAGTAACTACAAGCACACCTTCACAACTGCACAGGAACACAAGCATTAAAAATGGTGTGGTTATTCACAGTCCTGGGGGCGCACTGAAAAACAACCTTCAAAAAGATCAAGGATGTACCACGTGCAAATCCTGCTGGAAGTTGCAGGAAAGGGGGAATGTAGTGGGGGAAAAGTGTGTGGGGAGGAACAGGCCACAACTGGTTGGCCCCTGGACTGGTGGTCCCATGCTCTGGCCCTGACGGGTGGCAGCCATGGACAGAGCTCTGCTGTGGGAGGTTCTGTGGGCTAGCAGGTGACATTTTCAGACCTTCTATCCCTGCAGTGTTGGCCTTTGTTCAGCCTGGGGGCAAATTCCCTTGAGAGAGGCCTATTCCAGCAGCAGAGGGGAATGAAGGCTGGCCGGGTCATCTGTGGAGGCCCTTCTCTGTGAGCCACCCCCTGATGAAGCTTGGGGGAAATGGCTGGGAGAAGGGCATTCTCCATCGTGGCCCCATTTATGGATCACTCCCCTAAAGGAAGTGCACTTGGCACCTTTGCAACTAAGTCTTCATTGTCCGGTTGGGACTTTTTTATCCAACACTTGTTTTCATTCGTTTCTCAGGTTTTATTCCACTATTCTTCGCTGCTTGTTTATTATGTTTTCCTGTCTTATCAATTATGTTGGGTTTATTTTTGCTCAGCTGACTTTATTGTTTTAATTCTTGCTTTATGGGTTTTATGCTGGTTGCATATGGTTCTTTTTGTAAGCCACTCAGAGAGCCCTTGGGCTATAGGATGGCATATACATATCATAAATAAATAAGCCACTTTGTGTTGACATACAAAGGGTGGGGGGGGGGAGAGACAGCCTGTACGAGCAATGCAATAATCATCATTATCCTATGTTTTCAACTGTCTTCCCACAGCTTTCTCCTCTGCTTCCCTCCCAAAAAAATTCCCTTCAAAAAGAAAAGGCAGAATAGCCGCACGGTGTCTTTGGATCGGTAAGGCTCAGAACCGTTTGTCTGGAACCACGCTGGGGCTCACCACAAAGCGAGAAGACTGATTGTTATCCTGTTCTTAAGCCCTGAAATGACCCCGACTCACAGCCCAACCTGGCTTCCAGGCAGAGCCAGACAGGAGAAGAGAGGCTGCCAAGTTCCGTCATGGAAGCAGAAAGCAAGGGCCAGCAAGGGAGGGCCAACCCGTCCTCATCAAAAGGGAGGGCCAACATTCCCAAAGAGCTGAGTCGCAGAGGTCAGTCCTGAGCTATGAGCTGCGAGCTATTTCTCCCTGGCAGAAAACAGAAGCAGAGTCTTCTGCCAGCTTCCCAAAGCCGAGGCTGTTTCCACAAAGCATCTCCAGAAATATCAGAGCAATAGAAAGATCCGTCTGCAAAAGATGCATCAGGAGTCCTCTCTCCCATGGCTATTTATACACCCAAGAAAAGAGGTACACAGGGAGGAACCTGGGACCAACTCCAGAACGAGGAGCTCCAACTTTGCAGCCTAGACAAGGCAGGAGAAGATCTCTCCTACAAAGGACTCCTTTTTAAGACATTAAAACTGGGCATGCCTTGGGGGTCCCAGCCTCTGTCCAGTCAGGGCAGTTCACCAAAGAGAAAACTGGCCAAGAAACACATAAGCCAATTCTTTCAATAGAAAGATGGTGCCCACTCGTTCCACATGTTAACAGAGAATCTCCATCTACGCTACTTTCTAAAAACTAAAACACATGATATTTGCTTGTTTACTGGATCATTCTGCTTTACCCCTTGTACAGATTGCAGCTTTCCAGGTCCAAATCTAAGGTCTAAATCGTGCCTACTCACATCAAACGATAAAGCAGATGCTGTGATTATACGGTTCTTCATTTGTTGCAGTTGGTAGGAGTCTAAGAACATTTGCAATGGAAATACAGGGATTCCAATTTTTATTCTCACAGTTTTTAAACTGGCTCACAAAGGGACGAGGATTATATGTCTAAAAGGATAAAACATTTTCTTTTCTGGGAAGCCCCTTTCTGCAGAAAGGCTAGCAGAAAGTGAGGGTGTGAGAAAAAAGGAAAGGAAAGCAGACCGATTTTCTTCCCCGGCAGAAGTCCCCTTGGAGGGCCCCCTGCTTTCTAAGCTGAACGTGGCGGACTGAAGCATCGCCTTCATTCATCCGCTCCGCAGCCGTTGGCCCAAGAGGAACACTCAGGCGGCTCTTCCTCCCCCAAAGGAGGCACCCATTTCCAGCCTGCTGGATGACTTCAGAGCTCCCAGGACAAATATTGCCTTAACCTCTTTCTCTCTGCAGCGGCAGCTGTGCCCGCCTCCGCCGCCGGCCTTGCTTTCATACCCACTCTGTTCCCCTCCCCATCGCCTGGGAACCACCCTCCGGGCAAGGGGCCGGCTTGGTGTGGCTAACCTCAAGCTGCCACTTTCGTAGACAGTCTGACCCATTTGAGCGGAACAATCCCCACTTTCAGAGGATCCTCCAAGGGGGATATAAATAGATGCTCTTCTGTAGGCCCCCACAAAGCAGCCTTTTAGCCTGAGCCATGCGCCGATGTGGCCGGCTTTACAGGGACAGTGAGCAGAAGCAGGCAGTTAATAGAAGCGTTCCCTAGTCGGCCCTACCCACTTGCTCTTGACTCCCCAACCCGTGGGCCAGGCTGCTCCAGCTGCTCCCCCCCACCCCCCGGGAAAGAGTAAAGTTACTGAGAGATCCAATGTAATGTCTGTCAGCACAGAGAGTCGGAGAGGAGCCATCAAATCGGGTGCTTTATGCCAGCAAGCTGAGGACAGAGAAGATGCAGGCAAGACACTCGGCCAATTCTCTTGGGGTCAATTCACACCTGGCGCATTCAGCTATAATGTCTGGCTGTCCGGCATGGCACGACTCCCTCTCTGGTTGTCCCACTGTGATTTATCCCTCTCTGGCCAAACTATTTGAACGACGGGTTACAGGGGGAAGGGGCTCTGTTTCCCTGCACTGGCAAGCAAGGTATACACAAGCCTACTGGCATTTTTACTCATATTGTTGGGAGCAGTTTGTAAGGCATTAGTTACAACCAGTTTTTACCACCTTTCTCCTCTGCTTTGTCCCCTCCACATCTCTCTGCCCCCCACCCCTTTCAGCGCTGAATCTGTGCCGTTTTGAAAGTTATTTATCAGTGTTAACCTATAGCTGCGAATACCAGCACCATTTATTTTATTATATTTTTATCCTGCCTCTTTTCCTTCCAAGGAACTCATGGCAGCTTACATCATTCTCGTCCCCTTTTCAATCTTATCCTCAGAACAAGAATCCTGGGAGGTAGGTTGAGCTGAGCGTCTGTGTCTGACCCCAAATCACCCAAGGCTGTGTGGGGACTGCAACCCAAATCTCTTGAGTCCCAGTCCTATACTCTTAACCCATTCACACACACATCACATCTAGCTTTCAAAAAGCCTCCATTCGTAGCACACACGCTTTTGTGGTTGCATGGCAGCATTTCTCCTACACTGCAAATGAGTCTTTCCCCCCTCGCTAAAGCTTCTATGGGTTGCAGTGGAAGTTTTTTTCAGACAAAACATTACATGCAATGTGGCAGGTGAAATCTTGCGGGGGATCACAACGTTGGGCTGAGGCTTCCAGAAGCCTGCATTGTCATCAATGGTGCTTCAAAAACACAAACAATCTGTGATCTAGTCTCAAAAAGTCACCCTGAAATGGAGGCTTTTGATTTCAAGAAAAAAGCTGATTGCAATGGAGTAAGAATGACATGGGAATATCCTGCATTTGGGTGAGTTGCCACACTTGTGTTTGTAGTGTGTGCGTCTTTCCGCTTTGGGGGTGTGACCTCACTCTCCACAGGCACAATCCTTTGACCTCCTGGCCCAAAATCTATTCAACACGGAGGCTGAAATGATTCTCCACGCTAATCTGTCCATTGCCCAAGGGCAGAGGGCACCATGTTAATTACCCACAATGCCCCAGAATGCCACCAGGTCAGTGTCATTGTGGGAAATGTAAATAGCAGCTCCCCGGATGGAGCTGCCCTCCCTCCAAAACCACTTCTGAGAGGCTGCACTCCACAGGAGGACAGCCCCCAGGTGGACTGATTTTGAGTAGACACCAGATGGCAAAGAGAAGGTGTCAAACCGGCTTCTTGAATAAAGCTTGCGGGACCCTTCCCGCTCCACTTGTGAGCCATTCATGTGCCACCATTCCCTGTGTCAGTAATTTGCAAGATGCACGAAGGAAGTCGTTGCAACCAGACTGATTAAAGTCAGTGGAAGAAAGATGTAAACACGTGCACCGGCCAGAAAGTCCACAAGGTTCGTTTCCCTGCTGTCGTCCAGGATCCTGTCACTGGCCATGGCCAAAAGCAGATGTTTTCAGCCACAGCATGGTCTAGATGAAAGGAGGTGCTTGCCGGCCAAGCAAGTGCCGATTTGACAGCCAATCTCGCATTCTTTGGCAGACTCTGAAGTCCAAAGGGTTGGAGGATCAAACTAAGGTTGCTGGGTGGCCCTTGACAGCATCGCAAAGATCACCTCGGGTCCAGAATCTGGGGGACCCAGTCTCCACACTGACTCCTGACGTGGGGCACTGAAGCTCTTGGTCCAACCAGAGAATGGCCAAATCGCTAAGCATTCACATCCATCCCCATGCTCAGCAGCCAAGGCCAAAGTGAGGGACACAGCCCCTCCTGGATGGCATCTAATCCAGAACCCCTTCCACCGGGTCCTGATTGGACTAACACCTGCCCAAATGTGCTAGGAGCCAGGCTTGTTATCACATCCCTCAGCAGGACAACCCTTCCAACCGATCCCCACCATGTACAACTAATCTGGGACTTCGCAATCTAGGAGTGTTTACACTTGCTGGAAAATGGTCTAAACAGCCTGTTCTCATTCCTCAAACCTTTCAGTCCTGCATCAACACTCAAGTTCCTTCCATGCACTGTCTTTCTCATCTGGACATGAGCTCACATGAACAAATGCTTTAGTACCTTCTTATTCCATCCCTGCATGAAGAATCCAACCGCCTGCTCTTTATGTTGCTTAAACTAACCCCACTGTCTGGCATTTACTTCCTGCTGAGGACTTGGCCGCTGCCCTCTGTCTTGCGAAAAAAGAACAGACGCTGAGTTCTCTCCGCGAACATTTTTTCCATTCTTCAGAAAACGTCCAGGATGCCTTGAGACACGGGATGATTAGGACACAGCAGGAGCCTGGGTCTGTCCACTTCACCACACAAAGCAGTCACCCCTGCCCTCTCCACAACCCTGCGCCCGAAACGCTGGCTTCCGCTGCAGCATTGTGCTCCAGGTGTCTGGCTGTGAGTGGGCAACAGATCTTATTATCCTTTCTCCCTCCGCTGGAACTGGGCAGGACAATCCCTCAACCAGAGGACATCTTGGATCAGAGAATGGTCTCCTGGCTGCCCTTCCAGGAGAGGACTGCTCTCTGTAAAACAGGACACAGGATTCTGCCAGAAGACAGACTTCAGCAGGGTCCACAGAAGGCTTTTGAACAACCCTCTGATGCCACGTCTCACTCATCCCTTCCCCTGGCTGAGCAGCTGAGGAAAAGCCACCTGGCAGAAGCGATGTCCAGGAGTGACCAGCCAGGGCTGGAGGCCTGGATTGTTCTCCATATCTCTGGGAGTCCCTCTGCCCCACATCCTCCTGCCCAGGGGCACTTGCTGAAATCCTGCTAAGGGACAGGAACCTGCATTTGCCCCCTAGGTAAGCTGGATTTTGTCTTCAATAGGCTTCACTTCCTGTTCCCTCTCCACTGCAAACCTTTCAGTCTCAGTTTTTCCTCTCCTGAAATCTAATCCCTTCCTCTCCTTTGACCATGTGCCACTTTTTACAAATAGGGTTGTACTTAGGAGAGAGAGCATTTTAAAGACACACAGAGAGAGAGAGATTTAGAGAGAGACTGTAGTATATGTAAATTACTGTGTGCAAATTGGTGGGGCAGTTTGTCTGTCGGTCTGTCTGTCCAGTGAGTCTGTGCCACAGGTCCTTTCTATGCTCGAAGTACACGGCACCGTCTGTGCAGTCTGGGTGAGCAGAACAAGCTCCTTTTCTGCACTGTCTATGCTGCCCTTTGGAACTGCCGTGAGAGTCGGTGCAGAGCAAGAGGGCAAGGAAATGACCCTCGGCCAAGGAGCTGAAGCAAAAGTGGGCCCACTCCCTGGAAGGAGCGTCTTCTCCAAGCCTTTTCCCACCCAGCCATGCTTGAAACTCCAGACAGCCTGGATGCTCAAGCCAGGCAGGCCCTGTTGGGAGCTAAGAGGGGGAGGAAGCTGAGCAGAGTGACCTCTTTTCGAGTCCGCCGGGCTTGTGCCACACATGCTGAATCACCATCTGGGATGAATCAGAAATCCATGAGTCGGCAGAAACGTCGTGTGGAAAAGTCATCAGGGAGGCGTGGAACGCAAGGGGAACCCTTTCTGTGCTCGGAAGCCGACGCTCGCTCACTCGGATTTGGGAAAGAAGGCACCAAGGGGAAGACGGGGCAATGGGACACCACCAAGGAGTCCCTCCCCTGCTTTTCCCACCATGTCACTCTGGCACCAGTTCGCAAGACCCAGTTGGTGCTGATTACAAGAAGAAGCAGCACCCGGTCTGAAGCAACAGCACGATTGCGTAACGACGAAGCCGGGTGTGGAGGTTGCTGGCATCAAGCCCTCCGGAGGCTGGCTCTTCTCCCTCAGCACCGGCAATTCCTTGCTCAGCAGCAGTGGAGATGATGGCAACATGCCCATTACATATGGAGAAGAGCTTGGGAGCATCGCAATTCCATGCTCCTCTGGCCTCCAGGGAAATAAAGACTGGGAATGGCTGCAGCTCCGTGCATTTACAACCGGGAGCTAAGCTCGGAGCAGTGTTTCGGTATTTATCAGGGCAAGGAAAAGTTATTTCTCTTTGGGCATCTAGATTTCCAGCAAGGTTTGGCTCCTGGATAGATTCAGCCACACAAAGAGGGTTGCAAGAACTTGTCTTATGGCTACCTGTTTAGGCCAGGTGTGTGTCCCTCTAAATGCCTCTAAGGTCTCTAAGATTCCCATTCAGGTCAGGCATTCAAGGTGCAGCTTCTAGATAAGGTTGATGGCGCACCTCACACCTGAATTCTCGCCTCAACACACCGATTTGTTCCACGCTCATCAGTCTGCAGGATCTAATAATCCGTTCAAACAATAGTGCATTGTTCACTAAAGGCTCACAGTAGACGCTTATTCATCCCTTCATCTTCTCTCTCTCATGCACACTCCCCCTTCTGATTCTTAAACATCCACCATGATGATTCTCCGAAGAGCTAACGTAAGCGTATTATTTTCACTTTTGCATTTAGCCTTTGCACTGTTGAAAGACTTGAACAACATGTTCCCACACTGCCTTGTGGCATTAGACACATTCTGACTGCCAAGGATATTTGAACCCCCTGTAATGAAACCTGCAGTGCTGTGCCCATTTACTTAGGAGTAAATCCCCTTGAACAGAGCACGAGGCCAATCCTACAGGTCAGAAGGATGCTCCATAGAAGCCCAACTGAATTCAGCTCAGTCTTCAGGACTGCAGACTCAGCCTTGCAAATTAAGGCATCTTTCTCAATGGAAAGAAGGCATGTGGATTAATAAAATGGGGTAAGTGACAGAGGGACTGAAATTGAGCGTAGGACGCACTCAGTTGAACTGGGATCCTCCAGATGTTGTGAACTACAACTCCCAGCAGCCTCAGCCTTCATGACCAATGGGTGATGGAGGAGCCAAGCCTGGGGAACACTGAAAGAACAACACAGCTGTCCTTTCTTGCTTTTACACAGACTTTTTATGTCACTCAAGCACCAATCTTTTAAAATTTCATTCAGTATTTAGGCAAGTAAATACAATGTTATCAAAGACAAAGAGCTTTTCTGTATGAAATGGTTTATCTGTTGTATCTATTTTCAAGTTTGCTGCAGAACTGAGAGGCGAGAGCAATTCTTTTCCTGCTTTTTCACTGCATGACCCATTGATGGCACTGTGGCAAAGCAGCATAATACAAATACAAGAAGTGGGAATAAGTGCTTTCGTCCTTTAAATAATACCATGCTTTCTTTGCTCTCAAAAAACCCAAACCCAGAACAAAACACCTTGCCCAACATGCTGTTTAAAAACAGAAGCAAAGTTGCAAAGCAAAGTCCTGATGTAATCCAAAAACTCCATCTACAACTGTGAACAGAAAATAGAAAGTGTAGCAAAGCTACCAGAGTTTATTTGCAACCGAGCATTCCTTGCACATTTCATATCAGTTTGCTTCCCTTTTAATTTGCACAAATAATCTTTACAGCCTCCCCTCAACAAGCCCTCATTATCAGTGTTATTTCTCTCTTTCCCTTAAAACAGGAATACTGAGTATGTTGAACTGCAAGTTGAGCCTTTGTTCATGTTCACGGGAGGGACACTGTGGATGAGCCAAGGTCAAACAGGTCAAAAGCAACCTCCTTCTTCTGCCCATCACACGCATCCACCTTCTCCAACCTTGCTTCCCTCAAATATTTTGGACTTCAGCTCCCATCAGCCCCAGTCAGTATGTTCAATGCTCAGGAAAGTTGGAAGTTATCCTACAAAACTTCTGGTGGGCATCAGGTTGGGTGAAAATAGCCTGCACAACCGATATTTCCAGAAGGAATTGAATGGATACAAGCTGCCTGGAAAAAGGTGGAATGGATGGCTGGCGACTCTCCAGGAATGGAGGAGGAATCAGACCCATGGGTGAATACATGGAGGGGCAGGTTTTGGAGGGTAAAGTGGTGCAGTGGCAGGAAACAAAGGCAGCAGGCTGCTACTTTCTCAAATCAAGCACAGTGTAAAGCCAGTGGGAAATTAGAACGACATCCAGTGCAAATTTGGACAAGAACAATCCCATTTGCATGGTCCTTTTCCTGTCTAAACATGCATAGGATTGCCGCCTGATTGGATATGATCATGTAGTGATCAGAAAAGGTCAGTGCATGGGATGTGGGGAAGAATGGATTCCACTTCCACCCGGATCGATCTTTTATCCTGTCCCACCGAGCAAAGCAGAAGGTTTGCCTTTGACCTTCGTTCAAATTCTCGTTCTAGTGTTTGCCTAATCCATCCCACATTTTCAGTCTATATAGGACTGACACCCTCGAGGTGGACGAGTGTCCCCATTGAAAGCACACACCTAAACAGGCAGGTTTTCTTATTTAGAAAACAAGTGTAGCAAATAGCCAGCTATACACACACTAAAAAGAAGAGAAAACTCAGTGTGCACTTTAAAACCCTGAGAATTCTACCTTTCCTGGTGCTATTGCTGGTTCACCCAGAAAGAAAAAGAACCAAAGGGGGAAAAGACCCTAAAAGAAGTCAACTGATCTCTGAGGATTCAGAGTGGCACTCTCGTTTCAGGGGGAAATGCGAATCCCTCTTGATTCTCCAGAGATAAAACAGAAAACCACTGTTTTCGCAGAGCATGTGGGAACCCATCCAAGTACCACCCAGCAGAAGAAAGAAAGTCGTATTTACCTTTGGCAAGGATGAAAGAGCCCTCTTCCTTCTTTAGTTCTTTGAGTCCTGCTGCTAGTGAAGAGAAAAGGCTGTATTAAATATCAAAAGTTGGGGAAAGAGCAGCGGAAGCAGCGAGGTTCCTCTGTTTTCTCTCCCTTTCTCCCAGGGGTTCAGAGCAACTACTGCCGAACAGCTTCGCCTGTTCCATTTATAGCATCCTCTCTCCTCCCCTCTCCACCCCACCTCTGCCTTCCCACCCCTTTGGAGCAGATATAAGTAGATGCAAGGATCCTCTTCCCCCATTTGTAAAGGGCTTTTTACATTTTTTTTGGAAAAAGCATTTCCTGAGCCATTTATTACATTCTGCAGAATGTCTGCAGGAGAAGGATCGTTGATCCGAACCAGTATCTTAGTGGCGTTGAGTAAAAAGTCCCAGCATCCCCTGATGCTCTAACAGAACGTGGTTCAAAAGGGGGGGAGCCCTCAGACTCCCCCCATGGAGTCCAATCGACCCCCAACACCCCAATATTTCCCGTTGCCCAGCAAACCGACTGCGAGAGCGAGTTAGCGCCGGATGGAAAGATGCGCGGGGAACCAGGGGAACTGGCTCGCCTGTAGGAGCCTGGCTGGGCGAGGGGGCCAGTCTCCCTCGGGGGAAACCGAGGGCCGGGGGGATGGAGCATCCGCCCTTTGCGCTGGGGGGCTTCCCGGGGGGCTGCCGGAGGGGGAGACGCGCCTTCTCTCCAGGGCGCGCGTCTCTGGCCCGCGTTTCCCTTCCCTTCCCTTCGCTGCGCGGCGCGGCACGGCCCGCCTTTCCCACCGTCCCCGCTCGAGTGCGGGCCAGCCTCCCCTCGGCCGCCCCGGGCGAGGAGGGACCGGGTCCTGGGGGTGCTGCGCGGCTGGGGCAGCGATGCCCGGGCCTCGCAGGCGCGCCGAGCCGGGCGCAGGGGATGGGGCGCGCTGGCGCTCGCTTGCGCGCCGTGGCGCCCCGCTCCTCGTCCCCGCTCGGCGGCGAAGCTCACCCTCCGACTGACCTGTCTTACAGGGCTGTTGTTGGGGTTCTTGCAAGAGGGACACAAGCAGGCTGCAAAGGTGCATGCGTGGCTCATGGTTGCATTTTGTTTCTCTATATTCTATTTATACCCCACCTCTGTTCTTTCCGAGGAGCTCAAGGCAGCTTACGTCGTTCTCCTCCATCTCCTCTGGGTCTTAGCCCCACAACAACCCTGTGAGGTAGGCTGGGCTGAGAGTGTGCGGCTGGCCTGGAGTCACCTAGTTGGCTCCATGGCTGAGGGGAGATTCGAACCCACATCTCCTGAGTCCCAGACCCTCACTCTTCACCATTACACCACACTGGTCCCTTATGGTACACAACCGTGTTTGCAGAACGGGGGAAGGTTTGCAAAGCGTCCCGGGGGACCAGGGAGCAAGATTTGAATTTCTTCTTAAGTCTGATCCACCTAAATTAGAATTGCATATCGTAAGCCCAATAGGTCAGAGATCCACCCTGTTGGACCCTGCAAAGGACTCCCTGCTACCAGCTGCTTCCCATTCGCCCAACCCTTGACCACTGATTCTTGAGTAGATTCCTGGCTTTTGCACAGTTCCTTCCCCGTTCATAAAAATCAAAATCCCTTTCTTAAGGCACAGCTATTAGGAACATCAAGCTAAAATAAGCTGGTAGGTGACTTTGGCTGTACCCCTTTGACTTTTGGCCCCATGAGTCTTGAAATGTGGTCTTTGGAGAGCATCTCTGAAATGGAATGTGGCCCTCAAACTAAGAGGTTCCAATGCGCCGGGAGCCATGATAAATTCTGAAACACGGATCTCATCTCTCATCCCCCATAGCCACCCCCTGGGGAGAGTCCTACCAGGGCCATGGAGCTGAGCTGTCAAATGCACACATATTCTCAAGAGCAGCAGTGCTTGGCATAATACTAAATTATCAGGATTAGCTGACAGCCACGGGAAAAGGTGGCCAGTTCAGTGGCTAGCATCAGATCTTCCCTGCTTGCCCGTGAGCTTTCCTGGGTGAGACCAGTGAAGCCTGCAGAGATTTTAGGCAGATGCCGTGACATAATATGCCCCCATGTTCTGAATGAGGACATACGTGTAAGCCTTGAGCAAGTGCTTTCTTAATAGAAAGTTAGGGACATTAGCACTGGTGGAAGGAAAACCACTACATGGCTGGATCCCTCATGTCCTGGAGTAGCCCATCTGCTGAGACCATTGCTCAAGCTGCCACAAACCTGTCAGAAATGGGGAAGAAACAGCATGATTAACTAAGCGGACAACAGAGTTTAGAAACATAGAAACATAGAAACCGAGTGAGTCAGAAGGGGCTTCCCGGGCCATCTAGTCTGACCTCCAGCACCAGCCGGCTCCACTCACAACATGCCCACCATGTGGATGTCCAGCCTATCCTTGAACACCCTCACTGAGGGGGCCTCAACCACCTCTCATTCGAAGCTCACTGACTGCGCAAGAAGCAACTCTGATCAAAGGGCAGGCATGATTCTCAACAGAGGCAGCCAATGTACCAAGAAGAACATTAGGGGGAGCTCTGGTGATACCGTTTCCACCATCAGACTTTGAAAACAAATTTCAACATACTATTTATCACTTGCAGCCTTGGCCAAGAATGCAGTTTCCTCATCACTCATGTGCCAAGACTGTGTTTCAAGAAGAGGCTGGGTTTGAGATTATACCTGGCAAGGTGTGATCGGATGGACAAGACTAGTGAGATCTCTGCCGTTTGTGTCCCACAAGACTTTTGAGAAGCTTCCTCCAGGGACAGGAGGAAGAAACCTCCCCGGACCATTTGCTGTTGTTCCCCAGGAACATTTACAGATAAATTGCCTCTCCATATGGCAGCTCTGGCAAGGATCACAACCGAGACGTCTCCGTTCCTTGATCTTAACCCCTTTGGAAGTATCTAAGCCAATGGCCAAGAATGACACCTTCTGGAATGTATTGTTGAATAGCATCTCTCTCAAGGAATCCGAGGCAGTTTACACATCCTCTGCCTCTCTTACCTGTGAGGTGGTCTAGGTGGGCCCAAGTCACCTGGCGAGCTTCAACAAGCATGTGGGAACTAGAACCCCACTCTCCTGAGTCTCAGTCCAACACTTCACCAGCCCGGCTGTCCGTAAAGGATGAGCAACCTAATGGTGCAATGGACACTTTCGTGGACTGTCTTCTCCAAGCTGGTGCTGAAAATGGTCTATTCTTTTAAAAACATTGTAGACCTGTCTGGAGTTTTAGTGCAATGGTAGTACATCATTTCAAACGCAAAAGCAAAAAAGAAGTTAATCTATCAGTCGGTGGCCTCTTGTCGCAGGCTGCAACTTCTGGCCACTGCTTCCCTCTGTTCTTGAGGCTTAATTTCAGCAACTGTTCCAGGTACAGTCTGGGAAAGCAAACACACTGGATGGATTGATCTTGGCAAGAGCTTCCAAACCCAAATCCCTCAGTACAGGAAGGGTGTTGGCACCCCAGTGGACGTTTTCTTCTGCACTGGCCTTTCTCGCCTTACCACCCCCCACATGTGATGGACAGGACCCCAACTTCCATCTTTCCCAGCAACAGCGGCCACGCTAGCTGGGGATGATGGGGGTTGCAATCCAACCCGCCAGAGTGTATCGGTCGGGAAAGGCTGTTGTCATCAGAAAAAATGTGCAGCATTGATTTATGCCATCAGTGGAATAAAGTTTAACTATTATTTGCATCTACAGAACTGTCCTCCATTTAGTCTACCGTCCTATTGCCTAAGCGGGTGGCCATCCAGGTGTTTTTGGGAGACCTGAAGGCAGGGCACTGAAGAGGGAGACGGCCCAAGGTATTTTTCTGCCTGAAATGCAAAGCAAGGTGGTGTTCCCTCCCATACCATACGCAAAAAAGTGCATTGGAAAAGCAGAGGGACTTTATTTTACACCACTAAGTGGGCCACACCTTCCCTTTCACCTGGAGGCAGAGGACTACCTTAGAGGCAGGACACCCTTCCATCACCTCTCCCTATCTGCCACCTGAGGCGATCATCTCGTTCCGTCTAATGGCAGGGCCAGACCTCTCTCCCAAGCAGTATTCAGAGCCATTCTGCCGCTGCACCTACGGGGTTGCATATTGCCATCATGACTCATAGCCCTGAAAAGAACCATCTTCCAGGAACTCAAAGCCAAGCCTCTTGGATATAATCCTCTGCACCGCAGCAAAATTTGATGGGTTGCAAAGAAGAATTCACTGCATTTCTTTTCCAAGGGAGCTGAGTCAGAAGATGGTTGGACCCAAAAAGAAACGTCTGAATGTCTTTATTATTATTATTATATTTTTGCATGGAAAAATAGATCAGGTATGAGCAAACACCATAATTAATAAGCCATAAATTTTGCTCCATAATTCGCTTTTTGGACAGAGCTCCGAAGCCACACAGCAACCTTTGATGGGTGGCCTGAGCAAAGAGACCTGGAGGATTCTGGGGCTGCAGAATGCATATACATGTCAACAGAGAGACAAGTCCAAGAAACAAAACTACCTTAAAATGAAACCCAACCACCATCTAAGACTTCCTCGTGGGGAAAGTAAGCCCTATGAAACACAGGAAACATTTGCACTGTAAGGAATATTTGGAGTGTGACCCAAGCACTGTGCACTGTTTGGGATGAGCTGTTGCCGAAATGTAGGTTATGGCTAAAAATAACAGGTGGTTGCAGCTTGTGACACCCCTGGGGCAGGAGGTCAGAAGCATCCTCTGGTGAAGGTGAATAAAACGCTGCTCGTGGCATTACACTGCAGGCTACGAGTATGGTGAATTTCAATGTCAATGGAGTCTGAGAACTTGGTGATTTGGTCGTCTTTCCTGGTCAAGAGACAAGGTCTGGCTATGTTCCTTTAGGCGCTGTGAACCTCAGGGTTGGTGAGGCTACCTGGAAAGGCATGTTGGTTGAAGATAATGGGGCTTGGGAATGTTGTATAGACATGCTGGACCAGAAAGCGGAAGAGTTTCTCTGGTAGAAAATGCCTTCCAGTGCCTTTTGGTTGGGGTCATTTGTGGTCCCTGAAGGCATAAACCCCATTTGGTCTTCACTCACTGTGTTCTCTGATACCTGGTGAAGTCTCCACCCTTTTCAAAGTCCTTTGGGTGGCACTAAACAATTCATCGATGACCGGCAGGGCTTAATGGTGAGGATGCTGAACTGGAACTCGAGTGATCTGCATTCACATTCATGTCAGGAGTGGAGACTTTTTAATATCGTGCTTACAGCATGGGATGGACGAAGGGAAACGAGGATTTTTGATCATTCAAAACTGTTTCTGAATCTGTCTCTCACTCTGTGCTGCATGTTTATGCGTCTTTATTTATGTGGTTTGAACAGTGTGGTTTTTAAAGGTTTTGTTCCTTGCAAACCACCCAGAGAGCTTCAGCTGATGGGTGGTATAGAAATATAATAAGTGAAATAAATTCAGTTGAGATGAAGTCACCAAAAAAGCCTTCCTGGCTATTGGCCGTCGGCAGACTTCACCTCTCCCATGAATGACAAATCTCCCTACGAAAACCATCTAAGCTAGCAGCTATCCTCTCTCGTCGTACAACAGCAAATTCAATTAAGCCTTTTATTTTTTTCGATTTATATCCTGCCTTTTTCTACAAAGGGCTCAAGGCAGCTTACATCTCCACCTCCATCTTATCCCCACAACAACAACCCTGTGAGGTAGGCTGGGCTGAGAGTCTGTGACTGGCCCAAAGTCACCCAGTTGGCTCCATGGCCGAGCGGGGACTAGAACCCAGATCGCCTGAGTCCTAGTCCCACGCTCTTAACCACTACACCACACTTTGCTGTCCACAACTAATATTACCCTTTAAATTCTAAGTTACAGTTCTCTCCATCCAACTTGTCTTTCTACCATAGTCTGAAGCACAAACATGGAAGATCATGCCTAGCTTTTACCAGGCTTTCAAAGAAATGCAGCCCAGCTGGGTCTCGCCATGAACAGAATACAACAAAATGAACTTTTGGGTATGGCTGAAGCTCGTTAACCTCAGCACAGAACCCAAGTAGCAGTATGAGGCCAATGCATGGACAATCAGATATGTTCTTCAAAGACAACAGACAGTTCGTTCTCCGCTGAGGAATGCAGTGCTGTGAAGACCACGTACAAACCAGAACTGTGGTTTCATGATAACATGATGCGTTACCCAACTGAGTTGGCTCATTCCTGTGCCCACAATAAAAGTTGATGCTGAGCAATCCACTCGCGTATTGCATGAGGCTTCAGGCAAAAGCAATTTTCAAAACTGAATTAAGCCACTGTGCTCTGACGGAAGAATTTCAACACTTTTTCATGACTGGGGATTAAATGACTGCTGCATTTTTTAAAAAAGAAAGGGTATCATTTATCTTTGCTTGAAGCCAGTGATATTTTTTTACAGTACTCAGTGTAGGTGGGATAGAACACTTTCCAATTAGTTAACGCTCATCAGTGCACAGAAATATGTTGGGTTTTCAGTATCGGCAGGATGTTTCATCCGTAAATATGAAACTCCTTTTCCTCTTTCACAACTTCCTTCCAGTTAAACACATCATAAAGGGCCCTGATCAAATGTCTCCTTTACATCCTGTGCTGTTAAGATTCCTTGTAAAAATCAGCACAGCAATTAATCCGACAGAGTAATGAAAAACATACTAGCCATTTGAAGGGCAGATACTGTGACAAAGGGAAAGCAGAGTTGTCATTCCATCGCAAAGGTGTACTACCCTTACAGGAAAAGAAGCCAGAGTGCATCATCAGCAAATATTTCGGAAAGCTTTTTCCTTGGAAGCAAGAGGTTCATGAAAATAGAACTCCAAAGACATGGGCAAATTAACCCAGAGAGCGATCCCAAGGTCCTGGAGGAGAGAGAAGGCCTCAGTGAAAATGTCAACCAAGTGTGTTGCAAACGTGAAAAAGGAACCTTCCACGCTGGGCGTTGCCAGGAAAGGGATAAAGGGACCAAAACTGAAATGGCCAGTGTTGCCAATTCCTTCAGGGTGCTGGACCTGAGCGAGATGCGCTCTTCCACAGAATTGCAGCTGGACCAATAGTTGCAAGTATCCTGAAGCTGGGAGTTCTGCAGGTGTTCTAGAAATGCCTTCCCCAAAGCTTAGTTACTAGGATCAAGGTAAATGAGGCTGGCATTTTGGCCTCACCTTTGGCTATTTCACCACTGGTTATGTCACCACGGAAGAACATCTCTGGAGCTCCATTGGGTCCTTGAGTTGAAGACAGTTCAGCGTGCGGATCCAAACCAAGCAGCCCCCTTCCTCATGCTTGCTCTGTCTCCAGGCACAATCCAGTCTTGGTTTTGACCCTTTAAGCACATTGGTCCCTGAAGCTCTACCCAGGCTCCTGCCAAGTAGTGATGTGAAGAGCCAACCGCAGGGGGTGGCAGGGTCTTTTTAACCGGTGGCACCCAATCTCCCATCTCTGGAATTCTCTCCTGCCAATTTTTTCTTTACTGCATCAGGTGAGGAATCCCGCGTTCCCCTGGCCTTTGCAGTGTGAGGGTTAAACTAGTATTTTCTTATCTTATTGCTCTACTGTCTTGTTTCATTGCAAGTTTTATCACCTCTGTGTTTTAGAATGGCAATTTTGTTATTTTGTTGTAAGCCATTCTAGAAAAGGGCTGAAGAGGAGCCTCTACGTATTCAAAACAGAATAGTTTCATGAGAATACAAGGTGAACATGGGATTAAAGGAGAACAAAGGCATTTTCTGTGGCTACCTTTGTAAGCTGAAAAGTGACCACTTTTCTAGCTACTGTGTAATATATCCGAACTCCGGCTCATTCAAAACAGGGGTTTTAAAATGCCAATACCAAGGTTTTAAAATGACAAAATGCACTTCACCAGAGAGGTTTGGTGAAGCATTGTTCCAAGGGGCAGGAAAATTCCCACAATAGGACAGGTGTAAGGCAGGCTGGCAAGAGAGCCATTCCAGATAAACAATGCCAGGAACTCCAGCCCTCTGGCCAAACGAACACTACCCATGAAGAACGGAGACCAGAACCAGAAATTGTAAAGCAGGAACTAGGGAGAACAGTTCTCATTTTGATCCAGCTAAGATACACATGAACAGTGAGGTTATGAGACATGTGAACTAAGGCGCTGGCACTTCTTTGCTGTCTAAAGGGAGACTGTCACGCTCAAAGTGAGATTCTTACACATCAGAGCTTGACTCTGCAGATTTTGGACAAGGGCTGAGACCAACTGGTGAGACCCAAAATCTATCCAGTCTACCTCTTTCCCAATGGTCACCCTGATACTTCTGGGAACCCCTCCCCTTCCCTGGTTTCTCCCTGGGAAAAAATAATTCTCTTTAATTATTTGGGCTTATTAACCACTTGATAGACCTATCCGCCACAGATTTGTCTAACTGTCCTTTTAAGGACACCCAAGGAAGGCTGAATCAACACAATTCAAACGTGTTTCTACCCAGAAGCTCAGTCTGCCTGATTGTCAACTGCTGATTGTCAACTTCCCTCCTCTGCTGCCTATTTTATTGGGTAACTGTATGTGAGCATCCGTAGGTATATGTTCCCTCTAGTGACCAAAGTGTGAAAACGCAAATTTCCCCCAAATCAGTCTTTTTAAAGGGCAGATACTTCTGGAGTGTACATTTTGAGAATGAGCCTTTTGAGTTTGGGATGTGTGTGCTTTCCCAGAAAAATGTACTCATGTTTGGGAATACAAATGGGGGATTTCCGGCTGTAGGCAAACATAAAATTCATGTGCATCCCTAAACAGAAGTGGGAAAAATCAGGAAGGAGTAATTGGCAAATCTTAGCCTTCAAATTTGCTGTTGTTTCCTGGCGAACCCCCTCATCAAAGAACACTCTCAGAGCTTTAAACCAACTTTGTGACTTCTTTTTTTATTGATGGGCGACGACTTTATACTCCTAGATATCACTAGACTGTGTACACTTAGGAACTCAACATTATAGGAGAGCAGACAGCAAAATTAAACAAAGCAGACTGAAAGAAATATCAACCTTCATTATTTTGCCCATTTTTGTTTTAAAATCCCATGTACACAGAAGCATAAATGCAGTTTTGAAATCTCTTAATAGCAATAAAGTTACAATCACCCATCTATATAGACTAACATTTTAACTCCAAGTATCTTGAGCTGCAATGTGTACTTAAAGCAGTTTCTCATCACACAATTAGTAAAATGTGTATTTTTCCCTATCAGGAACCAGCAATTCTGTATATTATACTTTTCTGTAGGGTAATTCTTTTAAATGAGGACCACTTTTTCCTTGATAGACACTGGCTCATTTTTTTTTTTTACCATTTATCAAAAAAAACAAAACAAAAAACAAAAAACCTAGTAGGGGAGGACATAGAGAGGACCTTTTTTTTAGTTTTTTTAATTTAAGTAAAGATAAAACATTTTCACAGAAATCTACAAGTTCTGTTGCTGGTGCAGAGCTGTTTCTACTATGCAATTAGAAAGTGGGAATCAGTTGCAAATCCCCCGTTTTAATCTCTTAGGATTCAGCATTAGCACAAAAAATACTCTGTGTGTGATTTGTGAGACTGAGTCTTTCAAACCTAAAAGACTTCATTCGGCAAAGTCAGAAAGCCAACACCAAATAGGCGGTTCACAAAACCCAGAAAGGAAGTCTTCCCTTTCGCTCTACCCCACAGTTGTGGAAGGAGAGGGAGAGAGGGGGAAAGGAGTCACTCGGAAGAGCGCTGAAAGGCGGGGAGGGGGGAGTTAGAGAGAGTTGGCGTTCTAGAAAGCAGGTAATCTGGCAAACACAGCAGAAAGACAGGGCGTTTCAAAGCAGGTCAACTCGGCGGTAGTACAGGAGGTAGGCTGTGCGCTCGGCAGACGGCTTCAACACCTGGTACTGGGCAATCACTTTGACGGCCTGGTCATCTATGCGCAACCAGCCGTTGAGACCGATCTGGAAGACGTCTGTGGTGTAGTGCCCACCAGTCGCACTGTTTCCATGATGATAGACAACTATCGAGAGACCAAAAGAAAACAGGATGGACAGGCGGACGGGGCAGCCCCAGAGTGCATTCCAGCGGATGCCGGCTGGCCCCGACGGGCGTCCGTTCGTGCATCATGGTTAGCGCGCAAGGCTCCCGCCAACGCCTGGCGGCCTCCCTTGCCTGACTGCGCATGCGCCTCCAAGGCCTTGGGCTGCCGGGAAAGGCCGGGGCACGCTCTCCTTTGCGCTGGAGCACAGGAGGAAGAACTAGCCCAGCCGACTCCTGTTGCTTCCCCCTTCCTCCAAAGGGAGAGAAATTTCCTTCCCTTGCACTCTGCATGCTCACGCAGTCAACTTTTAGAAAACTGCGGAAACGTGAAGAGATACTGACACCTGGCTATTTTCTCAAGCCAGTTACGCTGCATGCGAGGGAAAATGTCTCTCTCAGCCCTGTATTCATTTAAAGAGAACTTCTGCAACACTCGTGTCACAACCAAATCTGTGTAAGAAAAAATTGGCAGCCAACTGTACACTTGGCAGCGGGCCCCCTTGTCTCCCACACACCCATTTCCCAAGTTACTGCCATTTCCTTCAGAAAGGCTCTAAATTGTGCACAAGTTGCTGCTATCAGTGATGTGTGCCGAGCAATGTCAGAGAAATGCTGAAAAGTTTGACTCTTGACAGAAAATCAAGACATCTTTGTTGAACGCCCATGATCAAAATCCTAATTCCGGAGCTTAGCCCATCGGGAACGATTTTAATTTTAGCTGCCGGCGCTGATCTTGCCCGCAGCAGGGCTCTGTTGTGTCAAAACGCATTTCTTATGATTAATAAGCACATACCTGCAAAGAGCCGGTAGGTTCTTTGGCCTTTAAAAATCTTACTTTTGACACCTGGAGACAGCAGCTCTGAAAGACACACACAGCAAGCTAGTGAGTTCCTGCTTTTGGTACTGCCAGCTGCCTGACCTCTTTCTTTCTCTGTAGGCAACCAAACAAGGGGGGAGCGCAAAAGAAATACGGCAATCCTAGTCTGCGGATGGTAGTTCTACTGTGATGACTCAGGGGGCACAGCCATCTTCCGTAAGGAGCCAGATGCTTCTCCCCAACCTTAGCCCATTTGAGGGCTGCACCAGATTTCCATGTATCACACAAATACAGCAGAGGTGCTGCGGTGCCACACCCTGGGACTGGACAAAACAGAGGTAAACTAACAGCAGCAAACGTTTGAGAGTAAGGATGTGAGAAACATTTCCGAGATGATGACAAGGAGTCAAGTCACAGCTCTTGGCTTCGTGTAATTTCCCCTGGGATCAAAACAATACATAAATGCCAAGCTAACTGAAATGGCACTGGTTTGACACAAAGGATTTCCAGATGACATTCGGATGAAGCATTTGTCACATGCTAATTTAAGATGACTGTGGAACTACTCCACAGAATCACTTTCCTGAAAATGATGGCGGTGGAGAGTAATTCATAGCCACCGATCTGCCGTGTCAAGCACAACTCACTGGGGGTGGCCTGGCCCTCCCTAAGGGCAGGCATGTGTTCCAACAAGGGCGTCTTCTTTCACAGCCCTGGGGACATGAAGCAGCAGGATTTTCTCCCCCGCACCCACAGTCAATTCACCTTTACTTATTTCCAGGTCAACGGGATACTCGATATTTTTAATTAGCTTCTGACACCCTCCTGTTTTTTCGTAGACAAAACGTTTGAGGTGCAGAACAAGGACCGGAGGGAGCTCCTCGAGAGTCACTCTTCGGCTGATTTCCACCTAGCAAAGAAAAAGCAGGCTGTTCTGCTGAAGATGCCGACTGCAGACATCAGTTCGAAGGCAGGTGCACCCCCCACACTTTTTTTGGTAGCTTCACAAGGTGGCATACCCTGCATACTTCAAGGGGCAACATGGCCACCTGCGTCCATTCAGTTCCAGGTTGCAATGCAAGGAAAGTCAAAGGGAGACGGATATTTCTGTAGGCCCGGTATCTCTCTCAATCCCTACCTCTCCACCCACTTCCATATTCGTGAAGGCTTTCAATAAAGAAAACGCTTAGTGGGCACTTTCTGATCCAAAACTGGCCTTCCATCCAGCTGTACACCTCCAGTTCTGAACCATGCCAGGGACACTGTGGACATGACTGAAGAATATTTAACTGGCGGTGCGCGCAGTTGGTGTGAGGTGTGACAGATAGAGGACTATGGGCATAATCAGTGCAGAGAGAACTTTTTAAGGCACTTTGAGAAGCTTGTGCTCTTCCCAGACTAGACACTAAAATATAAACCAGACCAGACTCGCACCTCAAGAGAACACCCATTTTTTCTAGAAGCCATAATTGAGCGTTTGGGCTGTCAAGTAAAGAGGAGACTAAAACCATGTATGTACCAAAAGCCAGGGTGAGTGGCTGGCCAAAGAAAATCTATGTGGTGACCCCTGACAAGGTGGCACTGCAGCTTCTCCTCCCGTACAAGGATGCCTCTCAGACGACCAAGGGGATATGCTCCCACCTTACTCCCACGCGCATCAGATTTAAGAATCCAGACAGGCCAAGTTTGCCTACACCTAATTTTTCAGGGCAACACACTTCCCACCCTTCACTCCAGGTGGTTGCTTCTCCCCACCCCCAGACGCCTTTCTATCATGTGGCACTCCACTCTGTTTACAGAGATTTCCTGTGCTTCCTGTGCTTAAAAAACCCATCTCTGGCTATATCCAACCACTTTCTGATGAAGAGCAGCAGTGGAAAAATACTGGGCATATTCATAATTCTATCAATTATGAAAAAATTATGGCAGAAGCCTTGTGCTTTTAATTATCTGTATGGCTTTTTTATTACAGGACAGTGAAGAGCCCATGACCAAGTAGTTAAGTGCTAGAGCCATTCACAAGGTTATTTTCATGTTAATTCTGCAGAGGACTCGGCTGAATCAGCAGCATTCAGAATGAGGCGGCACAGGCCAGTGCTTCTTACACAATGGGTAGACACACAAAACTTGGCACCTTTCAACTCCCAATATGAAGAGCAGAAACACAAAGAGGAAAAGAAGTGACCTGGTCTCCGAATCTCTATGGAGCACTGCCCCATTTACATGGTGTCACTTGCCCTGACGATGTCCATACTAAGCTTGGGATCAGTCTAGAATTCCAAAGCCACAAGACTGCAGGCTCTCGGGATGATTCACGGGTGCTGGGTTTGCATTACAGACACTTTCTGGGAACCAAACTTCAGTGGCAGAGTACATGATTCGCATAAAGAGGACCCTAGGTTCAGTCCCTGGCACATCCCGTTCCGGTACCAAGGCCAAGCATCACCTCCTGAGTACCCGGAGAGCTGCTTCCATGCCATTCAAAACAGACAATATAGGCTAGACAGAGAAATGGTATAACCCAGTGCAATGCAGCTTCATGTAGCTAAAAGGGTGAACTGACACCTTAATTAAATATGGTCCCTGGTGGCAAAAGCTTAAGACGGTCAGGAAAATGCCTACCTCCTGCTTCGTTTTTGTGGTATAACCCTGGACAGACTCTCTTGCCACCAAGCTTTCCAGCGCATCCTGAACCGTGCGTATCTTATCAGACTGGATGTCCAGTTGCAGAGTGAAAAACGGCTGCAGAGTTGCCGACTCCTTTGAACTCTGTTGGTAAACCACAGATCTGGAGAAAGGAGGGCAAATGAACAAGTGTGTTGATGAAAACTTTTCAAAATCTGCCCCCGGCAAGGAAAATTGTGATGAAGACACACATTCACATCTGTCTTTCTGCAAGTGCGTGTAAAACGTCTTATGGACACGGTCCTCAGCAGAACCTCAAGGGAGACCCATGTGTGCTGCACACACACCACATTTGAACCACTTGAAGAGTTCATAAGAATAATAATTAAGTCCAAAATCGGGAAACTGAAAATTTTAGGCTTTGTGAAAAATTGAAATATGACTTAATAATATGCCCAGTGGAAGAGATGGGGTGGAAAGAACAGCTTAATAAACACAGTCCTTCTCTGCCTTCTACTCCCCTTTTAAGTCATAATTAGCCGGGAACTACACCCAGACTCCATTTCTCACATCAAATTGCCCTTTCTGATTTATAGTCCACTGGAAGACTTCAACGTGCTCAGATCCTTAAAATGGAGTCCAACTTGCTTAGGTTTGTCCATTACATGCTGAACATGAAATCCTGAATAAAATCTAGGTTCTTCAGTTGAGGCCTAACCTCAAAGCTCAGCTCCTCTTTCATACTGACACACCTCCACCTCTTCACACAGTAGCATCTTTCTTCTGAGGTAAGAATACACTCTTTCTTGGGCTGCCACAAGGGGGTGCCCCGCCCCCTGCACCGCATTAGCATCGGGCCTGTGGCACCATCCCATCAAGAACTGGCAGGGTATTTATTCAGATCAAGGACAGCTTATTGTGCCTGAACATTAGGCAGGCGGGGAGCACTTGAGGCCGGCTGTGACTAAGCACGGCGAATGCTTCAGAGCAGCGTTTTGCAGAGGGTCCCTTCCCAACGCGTGAGCAGCAAGATCCCTTGTGGTGCTTGTGGATGACTGTAGGAGAGAAGTATCCGTTACTTCCATAAAAACTTGCACACCAGCAGCAGAGCTTAGCCACTGCAGAAGTGGAACTATCACTGGTCTTGATCTAAGAGGGAGATCAAGGGGACCAGGGGGGAGCTGCACTGGTCCCTCTGGAATCCACTGGAGGGCCACGCGGCTTCCTTGTCACCAGAAGCAGCGGTCATTGGCAAGATCACGTAATTCTGCTAGCGGCGAGGTCCAAGACAGGGAAAAAGGGAAAGGGGGGGGATTTAGAGGAGCGTGGAGGTGCTACTCCAGCTCTTTGCTGGGGAAAATGGGAAACGCAGCCATTTCAACGGCATGGTAGACTGCTACTAGGTCATTCACATATCCGTCACTGGCCTCCCAAGAGAAAGCTTTCCAACACGGGATCCTGTTTCTGCGGTGACCTACTTTGTAGAGTGAGTAGGACGGGTGTGGCAGAAAGCAGACAACACATGTGGGATTAGAGCCTTGTGGTTCTCCCATTCGGCAAGACATTCCTTCTTTTAAAAAGAAAACAGGAATCCTCAGTTTCATCTTGCTTCCTCTGGATGCCAACAGAGGACGCTATGCTCCGTGCTAACAATTGTTGCCAACTTAAACATATACAATAGGACTCCAAAGTATGCAGAACTTGTTTTTTTGTGTCCCATCAATTACAAAACATTCTGTCATGCTTGAATGGCAAGTAAGGCAGCTTCAAAGATGTGCTAACAGATATTTTACTTACAGGAATATTTTTCGATTCTTGGATGCGTGTTTCTGCGCAACAGTATTCTATTTGTGAACATGCAGTTCATTCAAAATGGGTTCATAATTTATTAGTCACAGCATCTTCTCTTACTTTGGGAGAGAGGAATGTCTATGAAAACTGAAATCAATTCTTTTTCCACCTGGCATGTGACCCAGATTAGAAAGAACAGCGGTTCATTTTAGCTACTTGATGAAATTTCATGCATTCTTTACGTGTTATTTTCTGTATTGATTTTCTTGGATTGTACACAAGCTGACAGTTGCTTAATACATTTTATAAATAAAAAGAATAAATAAAACTAGAGCCAGGTGGTCATGTCCCACCTTAGAAGCCCAAGGGCCTAAGAACTTCAAAAAAGGTCATTCCTAAAATGTATTCTTACCACCTGTGTAACACACGCTGTGATTTGGGAACATGTACAAATTTACCTAGTAATGTAAACTGATGTTCACATCAGCTGCAAAAAAAGCACTGAATTTAACATGATTTCTTTAAAGGGCGGAAAGGGGAGAAAAGGTACACTTGGAGAACAGGTAGGCTGACAGTGGAGGCCTGTACCAATGAACAAACAGGCAACTGACCATCCCAGTGGAATCGGTATCCTCTTTCGAGGACATTTCTAAAGATTATGCTAATCTTAGCATGAGATTCTAAAGATTACTCCGTTACCTGAGATTATGATCCTCAGGTAACAGATTAATCTCAGATTCTCTGGAAAGTATTTTGGGTGCGCATGCACAGGACCTGCATGCAAAAGTATCCATACAGAACACAACAGACTCCTGTTTTCTGCTTACTGGCAAATATATACAGGGCACTTTGCACATCAGCCTCTTCGGAGGAATGCTGTGGGGAGTCTTCCATACAGCCCTCCCCACACCCTCTGCTGGCTTGGCCAAGGAGCTCCCCGAGTGATGCTTCCATGCAGAACAGCTCTGAGTGAGAACTAACATTTTGAGTTTGGAATTGATTCAAAAGCTGGTTGTTTTTAGGAGCAGGAACTGCCTGATGGATAAGTTGAATCAAGAATGTAAAACAGGGAGGAGAGCGGAGAGTTGGGAGGCGTCGGCACCGCTGCCAATTCCCCCTCGTAAACCTGCTCCTTAGATTCAACCAAATGTAATTAAAGTGCATAATACCTTATGTGGCCACCGAAAATATCTGTGATTGGCGTCTGGACAAAATCTGTCTGTCGAGTGACAGAGGATTTGTTGCGTGGTCCAACTTGTTCCCACTCATCTTCACTGCCTTCCGCTGGTTCTTCCTGTTCCTCCTCTTCATTCACAGGCTGAGCCTCTGGACCATTGGGAACCACGAGTTCTTTAGGGAGAGAAAGGACATCGCAGCATTTGATCCGGATCGTCTCTGGACGACAGCGATTCTGAGGGCGGACATCTTTGTTCTGCACTGAAATGCAGCCTGATGCGTCATGAAGCTTTTCGTGCAAAAAGATGCAGCGGCTACCAATAAAAGCAGCTGCTGATTCTTCCACAACTTCAGATGGTGGTCATTTCAACACTCCTAACTGTTCTTTCACTAAAATGCAAGATTATGGCCCAGCAACGACAGAACATGTAAAATGGAAGTGTCAAGACTGAAGTCCTACTAGGGACAGTGGAACTATGGTTCAGCTCAGTAGCACCGGGTCCAAGTTTTGGAGGGCGCTTGGGCAACACACTCTCAAAGGGACGTGGCCCTCAGTGAATCTACCTTCTCACCAACTTTAACACTGGATGCTGTTCTGAATCCTCCTCCTCCTCCTCCTCCTCCTCCTCCTCCTCCTCCTCAGTGCGACCACTTGCTTGGCAGGCCTGTGAGCCACCAGGTAATACATGCATAGTTGCTCCTTCTCAATGCCATCTTTGTCAGGACCAGAGCAGGGGCAAGTAAACAAGCAGGCCGCACCAATGGACACAGGAAGCAACTCCAGAGCTCTTGCTGGGGCCCTTGAGAGAGGCCTGGACATGCCTGCCCTTGACAGCCCTGAGCTTAAGACCCACCTCACCACGGAGAAGAATTGGGAGCGGGGAGATGCCGGTGAGAGCATCTTGCCAGCTCCTCGAACAGAGGCGCTCAAGAAGTGGGAACACTGCCTTTATTATACAGTTTGCAGCACAGACGCAGCGCTTCAGCACACACAGCAGTTTGCAAACCCACTTCAAACAACTTTTTCAGTGTGGCTCTATGCCAAATCATTAGCTATGATTTATGTATTAAAGATATAATAAACCACTACGGTTACAGAAAAGAAAACCTGAAATAATTGTGTCGGCACAAAGTCTGCGTGGAGATTAACGCCCATTCATCTTCGTTTGGAAAACTCACTTTCGCTATGCGGAGATAGTAATTTCTTCAGAATCAGCATTTCCTCATGCAGCCCATTCAGAATAAATCCCAGATACTCTTCAGCATCTTCTTGTCTGCCCTGAATAAACAGATAGGCCTTTTTAGAGTACAGACACTTCGTATCCAAACTTGAAAGCTTGCCAGCTTTACTCAAGATCTGAGGAGGGACCCAGTGTATGAGCAGATAATGCTGTGAAGTTAAATTAAGTTTCCAAATCAGCACTAGACTTGAATGGACTCCCAAACGGAGTTTTTAAAAGCAGGCTGAGAACCCGGCCCAAGGCCAGTCCTAGTTAGGGATTTTCCGAAGTGTGTGGAGGAAGACAGCACGGACGCAAGCACCATCTTTGCACCCGCCTGCTCTGTCTTCTATGCACAACTGAATCGTTCCTTTAACACTGTCTAGCTCGCACTATTTGGGCATTTTAGATTAGATGGAAGTACATACAATCTTCTACAGCCAGGACTGTATTAGTTCCCGCAGTAGAACAGCACTGCAAACTTGGATCTTCATAGGGCTACTTATATAACATGCAGAATAAGGAAGAAACGTCTTAAAAAATATGATCCTCACCTTTTCTGACAGACTTGACTTGATAACCGTCAGCAATCTATAAATGTACGTGGGTTCAAAGGCAGCCCCAGGCCTGATGTCTCTTGCAATTTTATCACCTAGAGCTGCAAGGCAGCGTGGGGGGGGGGTAGGGAGGAGAGAAACTGTGTTATCAAGATGAGCTGATGCGTTCCAAGGCCAGATTTCGGAACACACAACCGTTACAGCAATGGTACAGTCCCAAAAAAATCCAAGCCACCAGGATCCAGATTCCCATACCAATACCATACCGGCTTGTCTAAACCCGGAACCATAATGTGGTGGGACCAAGCACGCAACAGAGGGCAAGGCGAGTACAGAACTCCCCTGGCGACTGCAGCTGAGTTACTGAGGTTGAACACAGGTAGAAACCTAGGGTGGCTCATCCTGAATTCAGAGGGCATTACAAAAGAAACAGAGGCAATGGCTCAGCACAGAGCTGCAGTTGATTTTTTCTTTTTTAAGTTCATCTGCGGCAACAGATCAAATTTAAGACATGTGGCTGAATATGAGCAAGTCTCCCCGTGCCCCTGGACGTGGGCACAACAGGGTTCTTGCCAGCTTGGAAGCAGCTGTAACTGCTTCAAGTGCAGGAGGAGGAGTGCCTCAAGCTGCTTTCCTCCTCAGGCGAGGTTGAGTAACTCCTAATAGCTCGGAAAGAAAACGTCTCAGAGGCTGTATGCCTTCTATTCGAAATATGCACTTTATCTTACGAAACACCCACCTCACAGGGCAGACCGGTTTGTGCTGCGGGAGCACTGGGATCTTGGCTATTCTATCCAGAGACTACATTAAGGTCCACTGCCTTACCAATGTATCAACAGACAATAAACAGTTGATATTTTCTACCCACCTTGTTTTGCTTTAGGAGGGACAGGCATATTTGTGAACTCATTCATTAGGCGGACACTGAAGTAGGACAAAAATAAGAAGACTGGTGTCAGTTGAAAAGAGACTCCCCATGTAATCAAGAGCAGCTGCTCAGAGAAGCCCCTGACCAAGGTCAGAGCAAGGCTTAAAAGAGCAAGGTTCAGGTAAGATGGATTTCATTAACTCGTTACAGGTCAAAACTGCTAATTTACGGTCTTCACTGCATTACAGTCTTCCTTAAAACTGCTACTGCTACTTGTTTTATAAGTCATGCTCCTCAGCTGATGCAACTAAATGCAACCCTAGAAACATTTGCTTCTCAGCAGAGAAGATGAGCAATGACTTAGGCTTCCAAGTCTTCCCTCCATGTGGTAGGTATGAGATGGACGGGACATACCTGTCTGGCACAGCTGAAGGAGGCAGGGAGCCAAATCACACTGGCTAAATCGAACCGTTTCTTTATGCCACATACTTCATTCCTGAAAACAGGAACGAGCAAAGGGACAAAGCGCTCCTTTCTCACTCTCCTGTACTCATTGCCTTCAGAATATTCTTGGCTTACACAGCCAAGTCACAGTTCCCTGTTATGTACGAACTGGGGAAACTCAGGCTTAGTACTGGGTAATAAACCAAGATATCAAGCCGGGATCTGGTTTATGAAACCAGGCAAGCTAGCCCATAGAATGAAAGACTGCAGTTTCTTCAGAGCTGAGGGAAAGCAAGTATTTCATGTCCTCATCAATTTTAGTTTATTCCCACACCACAGAAGTGGTAGGGGGAACCAAATACATATATCAACCGTTGGCTAATTTAGTTCCAGAGCAGATCCTCTGTACCAATTTATAATAGAAAAATTACTGACAATCTATGTAGACTACACTTAACGCACAGATGCTATATTCCCAGCATTCTATTTCCAATGTTTAAGCTATTATAGTATGGTCCTTTCTTATAAATACCGGCACATCCATTAACTTATACCCTACTTCAAACATGAGGATCGATTTTCAAAGTTACTTACAAACTGTCTATCATTGGTGTTGACGTACACGGCCGCTGTGACTTCGAATACATTGGAATGGACTTCATTAGGTGATACATAGGAGGGCAAGCAACCAAAGCTTGCAGTGTCTACAGAACTGCATTAAGGAGCCAGTTAATAAAGATAGCCAGATCCATTTTATGCATGCACCGTATCCACGTCTTTGAGCAAAACCAACTAAAGCTCCTTACGGAACAAGGAAGCCAGGAGCTGTACTAAAACTCACTGACTACTCCTTCCGTATCTGGTTCACATTTTGTATTCAGTAGTTCGCATTTATGGTGCAGGAATCTATGACATTTGAATAAAAGAAATACACAACAAAACCCGGGTAGCACTTTTCCAAGGATACAGCGTTGATATAACACCAGTTTCCTTTATTGATCAGTCCTCGTGGCTGCAAGGATACTGGTTTATGTATTAGTTTTACATTTTCCAGTAATTCTGTCAAATGAAAAACACATTCAAGCACATCAACAAAAACCAGTTCATTTTCGACTGAACAAAATCTTGTCTGCTGCACATGTAATGGAGATAAAGAAAAAAAAGAATTTTAGCATCCCCTTGTGGCCAAAGAAAGGAATTCACACACGCTGCTTTCTCGCTGCACATTTAGTTATGCTTTATCTCCAACTTACCAGGGCTCACTTCCCTATGGAATGTTACAGGTATATCACTTTACCTAGAACTGCTCCTGGGAATACATATGCACAGTATTTACTACTTTCCACTTGTATACATGTTCTGGAGGCACTTCCAGGAGATGCTCTGAGGTTCCCAATGACCCTTATAAACACTCAGAAGAGATTTAAGTTTTCTGCAGGTAAGAGCCATTTTCATTCTAGCCACATGTATTATACATGCATTCTAACCTATTCTGTGAGTTATGTAAATCAGAGGTATGCTAAGGCACCTGCTGGAACAGTAACAAAGATTAAGGTACATTACAAAGAAATTTATAGGACCAAAATATTAAATCAAGTAGACAAGTCATTAGTCTAAATCAGTAGTCAAGCCCAGTTCTGAAAAGCCTGACCTTATCTGCAAGGCTCAGCATACTCAGTAGCAAAAAATTCTAACGGGTAGACAGATATGCAGACAACTCAGTTGATATGATCAAAAGCCTAAGAAGAGCCCTAATCAAACGTTCTACTGATTTGAAAGAAAAAAAGTTATTCAACAAAAGTTATCTTTTCTTTGCAAGCACATGACTGAACAGCATGAATCCAACCTAACAATGGCACTCTTTTAAAAATGCTAAACTCTGCAAGTGTCATCGCCATTATAAACACATTTCCTCTATTCCTGTTTTCAGATCACCCAGTTAGAATCTACTACCACTGATAAGATTACTGGTTTTTGATGAAATCCGGTCAAATTTCATAAGCAGCCTCTAGGTTTTTTTTTTAAGAAACATCTTATAGATATGGTCTGAGTCTACCTAGCAAGGAGGATATAGAACGATTACCTGCATCAGGAAATTATATGGCACAGACATTTATAGAATTAAGATTTGCAATTTTATACTCTGAACACCAACGTTTTCGAATTTCTATCAGCTGCAAATTTGCTCCATCTGCAGCACAGTGAACTTCACATGCAAGATCATTCGCTTGTGGGGATGCAATTCCATCTCACTGCGCTTCCGTTACTGATACACATTTATGAAGAACTGGGGACTTTCAATGCTACTGTCTACTCAATTTTCATGACGGGGCCTATTTTGCAAGTTATGTAGAATTATACCCATATTATACAGAATGTACCACAAATCTGATTTTTCACCAAATGACAGGTTCGGATATTACAATCAGCTAATGCTTTTTTGATGGTACCTGTCTGTACAAAGGGAGGAAGAAATCAGGAATAAGCAGTCCACATACTCTGTGACACGATGCTAGTTCAGCCACAGTAAGACCAACAACCTGGCTCATTCCACAGAACTGTCTACATTCCAACCAGTGCACTACTGCAGGCCCACCCACTAGCTGCAGCAGAGGGCACTAAAATGTGTTCTCATTTGTGATGAGGCAAGATGGCAAGGAGGCTAGCTCTGGTCAGTCTTTCCCCCAAACACTACTCAGTCTTCACTGTGGAGAGAGGCTGGCTGGGAGGGGACACTGCAAGCAAAGACCCTCTGACACAGCACACTTGCAGTGCTGAGTTGGCAAGCCCTTCTCAATGGCGATGCACTCATCCCTGCTGCTCACTGCAGCAAAAAGATAACTCTCGAAGAGAAGAATGCTATTCCAGTCTAGAAAGCTCTGCTTTTCACTTGCAAGGGTGTGTACAGCAAAGAGCAAATGTCTACCACTGCCTTTACACTGAAAGGGAAACAAACCAGTCTACAATTGTGTACTTAAACCAGATAAGACACTTAACAAAAAAGGAGATAAGCGTTACCCTAAGCAAAAGACTAGAGATTAGTACTATAGCATCCAGTTAATCATTTTCTGACGGTTATGTTATTAAAGTCAAACCCAAGGCCATACAAAAACATCAAGTCAATGTGGTCCACTCACACCTTCCACTCCTTCAAACCCTTTTGGAATAACCTTGTTTATCTTTGCAGCTCAAATCTGCAATGCATTAATGATACCTGCAATCTTTATGGCTACAGGATCCTCAGAAACTGGAACAGGGCCCTCTTTGACTTCAACCTGTTTCTCAGGGACCACGGGAGATGTGGCAGGAGGGGTATACTTAGTCTCCACATAAGCCATAGGCGTGGAAACAGAGGGCTTGGAATTGTGAAATAGACTTGCCCATGATTTTGCAGGCTGACTAACTGTGATTGATCCTGAAACGGGGGCGGCTGCCTCAGCAGTAGATGAAGCATCCTCGGGCTTAGCTTGGTCAGAGTCAGTGCTTTCCACAGTGTGCAATAGTCCATTAGCAACACCCAGGTTTTCAGTAGTATCAGTACCAGCATAAGGCTGCACAACAGCTGTCCTTAATGGGCCGTCTCTCCCAGGCTCGGACAGGGTACAAGACTGTTCCAAATTAGTGATACTGCCTACTTCAGGCTGCCCTGCAGTCCTAGCAGCATCTAGCAGGCTAGAAACAGACTCGTCAGACGCAGCTTCATTAGCGAAGTCCACAGAATTTTCAGGGCTGTTACAAGTCCTTGGAGTGGCTGACGACACATCACCTGAAAGTTCTACATCGTCTGTGCTTATACTATTAAGTCCTGTTGAATTTGCATGTCCATTTACCAACGCCTCAGCAGGCACGATGCCATCACTGACATCGTCCAAGTAACTGTAATATCCAGGAGGTCGTTTCTTCTTCTTTTTGCGCTCCCTTTGCCCAAGGCTCCCAGGTAAATTATCATTTTCGGCATTAGAACTGTTATCCAAAGCGAGAACAGGATCAGTAAACTGGCAGTCAATGGAGTTATAGTTGGCTTCACTGAGTACATCACTGGGTACTTTCTGGGTAGATGCACAACCGAGAATGAATTCTGGTGCCTGAGGATTCAGCGTACTTGAAATACTGTAGTCACTGTTATTCAGCACAGATGAATCTGTCTCAATAACTTCATTAACACCAAATTCGATTCTCTGATACTCGTCCCCTGGGGAAAAGAGATGTCTTTTAAAATATGTTTCGCAGTGCGGGAGAAAAGGATAGGAAGAGGCTAGGAAGAACACCTTGCTATTAAGTTTCATAAATACAAAAAATGCTGGCAGTCATCTATTGTTTCAAATTATGCCCCCCCTTTGGCCAGTCAAATTATTTCCAATTCCTAATTTTCAGTGACTTAGCTGGAAAAAACAAAAACGAGCTTAATTATTTTACCAATACAAGGACTGCAAGGTCAACACAGACTAAGGTCTCAAAGGTTTCCAACAAGAGGGTGTTAAAGGATCTTCATTTTATACCCTTGTTAATCTATGACTGAAATTTCTACCAGCAAAAAGCAGTTCCTGTGAAAATGCACATGTCTGAGGTTGGGTCACTGGGAAGTCTGAAAACATGATGCTGGCATCAAGGATGGCTTTTTTTTTTTAATGGAAGTCAATAATGGCTTACGTAGTCAAGACAGCTACCAAATGAAATTAAACAGCAAACAATTCAGGAGCCTAAGCAGCACTTTAAAATAGCAGTGTCGTTTTAGGAAGAGCTAAAATTCAAAGTAATCCTATCCCTAAAAACCTAAGGAAACAAAACATTTTAATCTCGTGCCCAAAACAGTCAAACATGGCAGAAGATCAGGGCTTCAAAGTCAAAGACTCCGTCTCTGGCAGCTATCCACCTCCACTTCAAAAAGCGATCTTAATGGTTAGCTTAATAAGTAAGCAGGATCATATGAAAGAAACATGCTTGGGGCAGGGGTGGATGACACCCAGCCCACAGGCTGCATGCGGTCTTCCCACAGGGGGCTTGGCAGCATCCACTGGGTACCCCGCCACAGCAGCTGGCGACAGTGATTCAGCCGGGATGCAAGCAATTCTGCCATTTGTTTTCCAGCAAAATCATGCTTCTACCAGCTCACCAAATGCAAATATGGCAGGCTGGCGGGGAGGGGGGGTGATTCTACAGGCAAGCAAGCGGTGGTCCCCACATGTCTTTCCTCTAAGTAAATTGCTGGGAAACCAGTCACATCTGGGAGCAGAGTGTGCCCCACAGTAAGTTGGGGGGGGTGATGTGTAAGCCTTCAAACGAAAATGATCTCCAGTATTGCATCCCTGAATCCCTGTTTTCAGGGATTCAAGTTTGCAATACTAGAAATAAGACTCAGTGAAAGTAGTGGGTCTTCCACACAAATGTGCATAGGATTACACCACCAAGTTTAGAACTAGCACTAACTCAAAATTCTGCCAAGCAAGAAACTGACAACTAACGAAGCTTTCCAGTACAGGACATTCATGTAATGACGTACCAGGTGCAACTGTATACGGTCATCTCGATAAAAGTTCCTATGATGTTGGTTCTTGCCTATTTTTCAAGATCCATCTCAAAATGTACACTTTCTCAAACTAAGTTTTCAAACTTTGAAGATTTGAAAGATTGAAATTTCAATACTGAAAGGTGCTATAGATTCTACAATCCCAACTAATCAAACAGCCTAAGCCACATTATCCAACAAGTCCTCCAAACCACTTGCTGATTTTAAGACCTGTAACACCACAAGTGACCAGTGGGAAGAAAAGACGAACCGTTAGCGAAAGGAATCATAAAATATAAATTGTTATATATTTAATGGGGTTAGTAGGTGTTGGTAACAAACTACACCAAATCCCCAAAGCTGAACTGAAGTAACGAACCTGCAATGCATTGGGCTTCAAAAGGATTGGGAAAACAGTTGTGAAGGAGGAATGGCTTCTTACCATCATGGAGCTCTCCTGTGGACCGAAGGCCACATGAAATGGTTTCATTGTAGGGAGGCAGCTGTACAGGAAATAAATTAAACACTGAACTGAAAAGAGGGCTTTGGCACAAATAATGTGCCTGAACAACCCAGACCCCCAACTCTTATCTTAGCAGTGCCTAAGACAGCAGGCCATTTCCATTGTCCAAAAATGCCTGCAAACACTCCCACACACTTATTCCCTCTTTTGCACACACCCCGCACACTCTTAATCGCAAGTAACATTTATATGACAGGCCATTAAGATTCCTTCTTAACAAATCTGATATTCACAGGAATGTTATACCACCAAGACTGGGGCGGGGGGGGGGGGAGCAAAAGAAATTCAATCTTATCAGAAGGGGGAAAAATGGGAGTTTTAGCAAATGGATTGTAATGAAACACTTAATATCTGTAGCAAAGCAAGATTAGGTGGCAGAGATACAGTGATGAGAACTTTATCCACAATAAGAAATTTAACTTTGTTCTTACCTCAACCGAGCAACGAGGAGTCACAAAGAACTGATTAAATTCATCGGGGCTGAATTCCCCAAAGATGTACTAAAAAGTAAAAACACATTGTAAATAATTAAATAAAGTGGATAATGACATGATAAAATCTGACCATTCTGCCCCAGATACATGAGTTTTAGTCACTATAAAACACCTTAAGAGTCCTTTTACTGGATATTAGGGTGGCCTCCACCTGCCACCTCTCTGGGCAGGCCAGTTACCCAACTGACTTCTAAATCTGCAAAGGACTACTTAAAATCAGATCTTAAGATTTCAGATGTTGCACAATCACCTGTACCAACTATGTCTGCTTTCTAAAAACATGTTCTTAAACACCCATGCCTTCAATACAATAATCACAACCCTAGGTTTGCTGTGGTCTTCTTGCCTGTCACTTAAGCCTCCTCTACACTACCTGTTGGAACACACACAGACGTACAGGTTTCCTGGAGGAGATTCTGAGTTGCAACAGGCAGAGAGTGATTTACAGCATTGCTTGAATTCATTCCCATTTCTGCCACAAGCAAACTCACGTCCATATGCCACCTTCCAGCAATTCTCATTCTTCACTGATGCCCATCCCTGTTCTTCTCCATTCATTCAAGCTGTCTCCCCCTCCCCTCCTTCACATTTGCTTCAATATCTATTTCTTTTCTCGAGTCTTTCACATTTCCTATGCATTTTGAAAGAGTTAGCTATCAACACATTGCCGCTAGTTTTTAGTGCTGGTTCTCATTTTTTTCTTCTCAATATTTATGTCATGTTTGCACTAAATGCAGACTAAATTAGCAGTAAGAAACATACAAGATCCAGCATACTTGAAAGAATACAGCTGGACAACCATTGCAAAGTCCAAGAATCAGCATGAAGGGGAAGTGCATGAACGGCCGTGCGTTTGAGACTCCGCAGTTACACAGGCTGCACTATATGCTGTGAGGCAGCCAGAGTCGCACACGTAGGTCTGCAGAAAGGTCTGCTCTGGAGAGGGCATGGCTGCGAAAAGGTTATGGAGTTTTTCAATATGATCCCCTCTCTGTCTATATGACTTTTTCCACAAATACTGCTAAGAACTACATTACCATATAACTATGGTCATGATGGACTTTCACTTATGAAAGTCAAAGCCCTGCTGAAACCTTTTAGCAAGCCTTTTCCTTTAGTGTTTCTGTACTAGCAAAGAAAAACTGTACCCTATGCTTCCTTTTCAGTAATTTTATAAGTGAACTTTTAACAAGTGGAAGATATTATGCCTGTATGTCAGACAGAGGAGAATTCAGATTTGCCAGAACTCCTCCCCGCTTTTTCCCCCAAATGAAGTCAGGTGTAAAATAGAGGTTCAGGCAGGTAGACATGTGCTAAGAACTTAGGAATAGGCTGCTCCTGACCCTGCCCAGAAACTTATGGAAAGTACCATAAACATACTCACAACTCTATTCTGGTCAGTGTATTCTTTTCTGCAATCTCAGGGGAAAACTGTTTTGCTGCTATTGTTATACAACAGGGATGTAGAAACTCATGCCTATCTAATGCAATCTACCTGGAGAGCCATCTGTGAATCCTGACTGACCTTCCTTCCACCCTGCAATAAATGTAGACTTGTATGAGGTGCTCCTGAACATGCCGAAACTTTAACATTGCTATTTCAATGACAGCCTCTAATGCTGCAGCCTCTTAACACCTTATACTGCTTTATAGGCGCAAAGCCATTACAATCCAAACTGGAAATGAACACTATGCTGTAGTCAGATATAGACCTGGAACAAAACGGTTTCTGAAACTTGGTTAAAGTATTGCTAATCTGTTAAAGCCCAACTAAGCAACTGTTAGATATCAGCTATACACCACCTCAAAATAATCTGACAACTGAACCATGTTAGAAACCTTTCTCATATTTCAAAAATTTCTCAATTCTAATCAAGGCATAAATTTCAAAGGCTACTATAATTCAACAGGCAACATTTTCTACCACTGAAAAGTATCAGCTTGCTATAGAACCTTACTAAATCACAACTTAAAAGTATTTTAGATCAAGTCCTGCAAAGCACAAAATTTAACCACACAGTTTAAAATCCTATTACATAAACAATCTTTTCCCCCATACACATTTATTACCCAGGCTTAAATCAATACAAGTATTTAATATATTACTCAATTGTGGGGAAAGTATCTTGAACTTCACAGACATTCAGAATGCCATCCCAATGGAATCTTAGCTAGTTTTTCTATGATTAGTACACCTATTGTTCCCAAGTACTAATTATTTAATAGGGACACAATGACTTAGTGATACACAGAGATCAGCTCACAACCAACATCCAACAATTCAAGCTACTTATATTTTGCTGACTCTCCCAGTGGCCAAGTTCTCCTCATTCGGACACAAAACCCACTGGCATCTGGCACCAAGAAAATGTGGCAGCATGAGAAGTATCTACCCACCAGCTTGGTCGCTTGTTAAAGGCAGCTTGACTAGACTTCCAATCCTGGTCCCACTACCCCCATGTAGTGCCACAAACTTTCCCCAGCACTAATTATCACACAGTCACAGGCTCCTTTTCTAACTCCCCATTCTCAAACATGGTCTATTCTTACACATGTTGCAGAATAAAGATACTGAAGTAGCACACAGGACTGCACAGTAACAGAGGAGAAGCAGGACTGATACAGAATCGTGTGTGTGTGTGTGTGTGTGTGTGTGTGTGTGTGTGTGTGTTTTAAAGAAAGTCTGTTCAGCAGTATTATTTTTCCACCTGGAATCTGAAGCGATACAATCTAACTGGCTATTATGTTACTCATATGTACAGCCACAACAATTTCTTACTCCAGGACCCTATCTAGAACATCTGGGCTCACAACGCTCCAGCTTCTAGATCATCCCTTTCTATCGCTTGATAAGTCTAGATTTGTTCTTGCTCTGGAGAGATGGTATGTATATTGTACCCGCTGGCACTTTTAAGCTATTTGCATTTCCAGACTACTCAATTTTTACGAAAAGTTTTGATATGACAAGACGTGCAGCCACTTCAACCAGCCCTTCAGGGAGAGCGAGACACATTGAGGTTACTACCCTGGGCTACCACATCACCATTTAACCAGGGGTGTCGGAAAGTAGCTGTCCAATTACAAACCCAGCCCATCTGTATTGTGATAGCTTCAAAGACTGCAGATATCGTCTGCTGTTCACAATAACAACAGGAGGATGTGATGGTGACCAGAAAGGAGTGGGAGGAGTTGCCCAATGAAACTCCACTCCAGGCACAGATCACATCTGCAGCACTGCATTCCAGAACCGGCAAATCCTGCTAGGGAAGCTGCAAAGACGATGGGGGAGGCTTGCAGCAGCTACTACCAGAACCACACAAAACACCTAGCTGGTAAAATATGTAAAAATCTATTTTACGTGGTAATTACCTGGGGAATGGGTTGAGAGATTAGTGGTTTCCTGAGTGTAATAACGGCTTTCCACCAAATAATTATAAGCCAAAGTAAGCTTTCAGCAATGTTAAAACTGCAGCATGATGTAACAAAATGCTACACTATGAAGAAGAGCTGCAGTGGCGTGTGTCCATGACATTCCTACACCCCTCGTTTTTAATACACGTATGATGAGGCACTGAATGATACATCAGGCAGCCTGAAATTAGAGAACTCTCACTGCCGCAGTCCATGTTCACTCTTCCAACATCTCATGCAATACCTCTGTTCCGTCTTGATCAAGCAGAGGCCACCTTCAACTTAATCAGATACTAAGTAGCCTAATAAGCCGCTTAACCTCTTGCTGGTGCAGCAATAGTTTCGATGTGCATTTACGAAGGCCCTTCTAACTTCACCTTGGGAAAAACTCTACACAGTTTAATAAATGCAAGGAGAAATTAGAAAGCCCTCCACAAGACACAGGGAAATCATTTTAAGACATTCTTAGCAAGACACAGGGGTCATTTAAGAAGAATGATATAAAAAGTGTTTTGATAAATTAGTCTTACGCCTTGCCAAGTGTCGGGGGAGGGCAGCGGAGAGAACCACTGTCAAATAAAAACAGTTTGTAAGAAGTTTCTGCACAACTGAAACAATCTGTACAAGGGCAGTAAAAATAAGACCTCCAGCCTTCCACACTGCTGAAGCTAAGGAACACCCCTACTTAAAGCAGGTTATTTTCTTAACTGTTTTCTTTGACTTAGACAAATTATGAAAGACTTAATATATCAGTTCTCTAATGAGCTAAGCAATCTGCACCCTTCCCTTCCCTACTGCTACACAGTAAACATTCTATACAAGCATCTTTTAAAGAATGTGAATCACACACAGGAAAAGTGGGAATTTCGGTCCCAGTTATACACATGTTTTTAGAATTGTGGGAAGTTCTCATACCATGAAACACTATTGTTCCATACAAAGTTCCTTAATCCTGAGCAGTATGTTAAATGGTCATATATAAAGCATTTCAACTGAAAAAACTGCAGCCCTAGCAATACAGTTCTTTCAAACTCAATATCTACTTTGCTGAAACAGCATTAAAGTGACAAATCACTATAATCCAGTGGCTCAAAGCCAGCAAGTTCTACTACAAACAGACCTGTACAAAGCTGACAGCAGCGTACAGAGTGCATACAGCAGTAAACTGAAGAAATTCAGGAATATTTTTCTGACTCGCCTCAACTTTACAATGAGGCCATCACATGTGAAAGAGCTGTCCCAACACAACTGCCTCAAACATGTTCTGTATTTACAATTTTCAAAATGCAAGTTCCACAACAGGGTTGACATGAAGATTCAATTCAGAATCCTAAACCAGGGGGGTAAAGAGGGTTACATTTTTTTCTTCTGATTTATATTGAGCAGCTCTAACGTTCTATCCAACTAATTTGCACAGATGAAAACAAAGCAGAACTTATTTATCCTGCTCGTTATCTTTCCCTACTGATTGCACAAGCATTCAAGGCTAGGATTCCATGCTATTGCTATTTACGTAATGTTGTCCCATAGACTTTTAAACATAATTCCAAGTATAACACATGCTTGAAAAAAATGTATATGGTCTTGTTCCACAT